ACAGAGCTTTCTGAGAACCAATGTTCAAAAGAAGGGGGGCAATGAAACATAATAAAGTTTTACAAAAAAAAAAAAGGAAATTGGGGGAAAATTCCCATTAAAGGCTGAGGTAGTTTAAATTGGGTAAAAGAAGCAGAATTGATCTAACAAAAATACAGGGTTTTAAATATATATATATATATATATATATAAAGCAGAGACTGACTTAGGGAACATTTTAAATTACAGCAGGACGTGGCCCTTGCTGCACCTGTAATTCAGACTTAAACATGTGTGGAGATTTCCAAATTGCTTCTCAACAGGTATATTTGTAGGGTTCTGGAGGATTATTATGAAGCCCTAGATATGGATACATTATCTTGATTTTTGTTTGTCAAAGTTATCCTTTGTCCTCAGTTTATGTTGGTGTGGTCCAGAGGACACATTATTGGATACAGTATAATACTAATAATATATTAGTTATACTCCACCCATCTGACTGCGTTGTCCCAATCACCCTGGGAAGCCTGCAACATGAAATATCAAACATTAAAAGCTTCCCGATATTAGATGTCTTTGGAAAGTTATATACGGTAGTTGTTTATCTGTTTGAAATCTGATGGGAAGGCCTTCCACAGGGCGGGTGCCACTACCAAGAAGGCCTTCTGTCTGGTTCCTTGTAACTTTACTTCTCGCGGTGAGGGAACCTCCAGAAGGCCCTCAGAGGTGAACCTCTGTGTCTGGGTGGCTGAACGATGGCAAAACTCTCATTTCTATGGTCTTCCTTGGTAGCTTTGAACGAGCCACCCACTCTTTCAGCCTCAGTTCTTCATCTGCAAAATATGAAGTATAGGAGGTGATCTCACAAAATATTACTTGGCACCCAAGACTGTGTACACATTACCCTTTACTCCAGCTCCAAATGCTTGAAAGATAAGGGGTGGGCAAGCCTCCATTGCCCTGTGGTAATTCAATTTTGGGGGAAGGATAGGCTAGAACTGTCTTCCATGATAGTTATCTATGCAGAGGGAGGGTTTGGATTATTTTTAGGAGGAATATTAAGTCAGGTGAACTCCCATCTTTCGATGTAGTGCAGCCCATGCACAGGTCCACCATATCAGGTTGAAAACATGCCATACATTTAAAGACTTTTGTAAAGTAATTTCCCCCAAAGGATCATAGGAAGTGTAAAGGTACGTTAAGGGTGCTGAGAATTATAGCTCTGTGAGGTGTAAACTATAGTTCTCCGGATTCTTTTGGGGTGGGGTGCTTTAAATGTACCGTATGTTCCAAAAACGTGCAATATGAATCAGCAAATTTTACAAAACAGTGACTGCTCTCCAAAGCAGCAGCCATGTGGGGAGAAACATAATTGCACTTGGCAGCAAGGACTTTTGTCCTTCTCTGGACAAAGGAGCACCCTCATACATCATTTTATGCTCCATCATTTGTTTATTTATATACTGCTCTTTAAAAAAATTAACAAATCCCAGGGTAGTTGTCATAACAATGCCTTGTTGTTGTTGTTGTTTAGTCGTGTCCGACTCTTCGTGACCCCATGGACCAGAGCACGCCAGGCACTCCTGTCTTCCACTGCCTCCTGCAGTTTGGTTAAACTCATGCTGGTAGCTTCGAGAACACTGTCCAACCATCTCGTCCTCTGTCGTCCCCTTCTCCTTGGGCCCTCCATCCTTCCCAACATCAGGGTCATTTCCAGGGAGTCTTCTCTGCTCATGAGGTGGCCAAAGTATTGGAGCCTCAGCTTCAGGATCTGTCCTTCCAGTGAGCACTCAGGGCTGATTTCCTTAAGAATGGATAGGTTTGATCTTCTTGCAGTCCATGGGACTCTCAAGAGTCTCCTCCAGCACCATAATTCAAAAGCATCAATTCTTCGGCGATCAGCCTTCTTTATGGTCCAGCTCTCACTTCCATACATCACTACTGGGAAAACCATAGCTTTAACTATACGGACCTTTGTTGGCAATGCCTATTGTATAACTAAAATTACTCCAATCTGAATGGTCACTCCCCAACTGCAAAATAAGTATAGTGCCTTATCTTATTGGGCTGCTGTAGAAACCAGCACAGGAACAGCCCTATGAAGTCCACCTCTACGCTTCATATTTTGCAGTTGAGAAACTGAGGCTGAGAGTGAGCGACTTGTTCAAATATACCCAGCACATCTTCACCAAATATTTGAAGCTCTCTTAAGTGGAATCTATACGCATATAAAAAAAGTTTTGAAAATGCTTTTTTTAAAGCGTTTTAAAAAATACATTGAATTTTCCATAAGTCCATCACCATCTAGTGCAGGGGTAGTCAACATTTTTATACCTACTGCCCCCTAATGCATCTTTCTTGATGGTAAAATTTCCTTACCGCCCACCAGTGCTTGATGGAAGGATTCAGCTTGTGCCACAGAACCCCCTAGCATCCTGAAACGCCTACTAGTGAGCAGTAGGGACCAGGCTGACAACCCTTGATCTAGTGTCACATGGTATATTGCACTTAAAATGTTTCATTTGCAGCTGTATAGCTGAGTCTTTATACCACTTTAACAGTCATAGTTCCCCCCACCCAAGAATCCTGGGAACGATAGTGTGTTAAGGGTGCTAGGAATTATAGCTTTGTGAGTGGCAGTTCCTAACCACTCTCAGCACTACAGTTCCCAGGATTCCTCAGGGAAAGTAGTGCTTTAAATGCATAATATGGATGTAGCCCTGAAAGTTCACAGAAATTGTAAGATTTGCCCCTAAAGTTCCTAGGCCTCTGGATCATGCTGACTTTTCTAAAAGGGAAGATTGTCACATATATAACATGCACACAGAAATATATTTTCAGCTCTTTTTTCTCTTGCACTGCCCTGTATTCTCTTTTGTCCTTTCTATTATTCACTGTCCATCTCATTTCTGCCTTCTCATGTCTCTTTTCTCCCTCCTCTCATTAGTCTCCTACTAGCCCAGTTTTATTAATAATGTTTTAATGTATTCAGCATCTAACACTCGGCCATTTCTCTCCTACAGTCTTCACTAACATTTCCCATGCTGGAAAAAGACTTTTGCTTGGAAGTACCAATTCTACCCAGCAGGGGGAGGGGAAATCCCAGTGTTTCGGAGACAGGCTGAAAACCCAGATGGCTAGGATTATTATGGAATGTGGTACAAATTGCAGTTTGGAGCAGACTCCAACCTCAGAGCTCAAAGGATGCAAAAGAAACCCAGTGGAATCGGAGAACACGATTTATAACTTTGTTGGCCGATGACCTGGAACATTTGACAGCAGGGCAAATTCAGTTTAGTTTATAAACAGAGCAGTGTTGGTGCTTAATTTTTATTGGGGCTATATCATCACGATCACTAATGCATTTTCTGCTCCTTATTCTGTGAGCAAGGATGCAGATGATTAGAGTATTTTTTTTTTTACTAGTGCTTCACATTACTGCCAATCATAAAGTGAAATAAAATCTGGAGATTAGAAATCATGAAATATTTGTGCATGTGTGAACCAGGTCCAAGCACTGAATAACCCATAGATATCCAGACATGTACAAGCGTATGTGTACCATTGGCCATTTTAGATATATTACTGCCCCATGTTGCTCCTCAGTCCCGCAAATGGCTGTTGACTGGTTGTCAACAATAATGCTGCTTTAACATTATTTCATCCCACTGAAACCAATCTATGGGTTCCAAGAAGCATTCCAGATGCATGTTGAAACAATCCTTTCTCTACCAGCCTCCTTAAGTCTATGGAAATTCTCTGGAAAGGGGTAGGCCTTGCTCCTTTTAGGCAGAACATGAGTGAGAGCAAGTCTGATAACCCTGAGAATCAGGCTGCTTGTTGACTTAAATCCTATTATTTCAGGCAAAGAGTGTTGTGCATCAGTCTACTGAGTCACATTCAGTCACATGTACATTAATCATGTAAACTTAAAAAGGATTTGGTATAATCAATATTTCAAGCTTCAATTGTTCTGTGTTGCTCCTTCCTTAGCCCAGTCCCCTCAAAATGTTTTAATTTTTTCCCTGCAGCAGTAACTGGCCCTCCACATCAGCCTGTGAAATACACTTTGCCTCCTAAACACTCCGGCATTTATATTTCCAGCACAAACAACTTTAATCAGGCAAATTCACATGTAGATTGCAGCACACCAAGGTAAGCCTTATCATTATCGGTCCAGAACTATGAATAATATTCCAAATATAGCCTTGTGGGTGCTTCTCGTGGCTCTTTCAATTTCTTTTTAAATTAGCAGAATCTTAGCAATTTCAAATCTTATGGCTTTTGTATTTTCAAAGGAAGAGTAGCTTTTCTGTTGTATGTGTAGGTGCAACCTGTACGCATTTCCACTGGGGACAATCTACCATAAATAGTTTGCAAAGAACTACCTGCAACATAGTCCCCCGCCTTTAAATTAAGCATTAAGTTACCTAATTACCGTAGTTTTTCATTGACCCTGATAATAGCATTATAGGCCTGTTTGTATCTAGATTCTTTTTAAGAATCTCTTATGGGTGGTCTAGAAATAAGACAAATAAATGTCTTGGTTCACTTTTAAGACACTTTAAAAATACTGTATTTCTTGTGCCCACCATTGCATCATAGTGAACAGCAGGGAAGAAAACTAGTACAAAAGTAACAGTGGGCCTTATTGCAGCAAATATTCTTCTATTTTTTTATTATAATGTTGGCCTTTCCAACATTACTACTGCACCAGAAACTCTACTGTGTGGTGAAAAAAAGCAGCATGTATTCCGTGGGGTTCAATACCACTCTCCCTTAATGCTTTTCTTCTCACAAGCTTTTCAGCTTTTTCTCATCTGTTTTACTTGAATTATTCTGATGGCATTTTGGTTTATGTCGGTTTAATTATTTGCAGGTTTTAGATTATTTTTGCGTGCACATTAGAATGGCCAGGCAGAGTGATCTCCGCAAAACGCTGCCAAGATGCTTCGAGAGCCTTAAAGAAACTTAAAGAAGTTTCAAAGTTTCGTGGCAGAGTATAGAGTACAAGTGCATGTATGCAAAGATTGCGATGGATTTGGTCGCTAATCTCAGGCGCGTTCAGTGAAAACAAACAAGGGAACACTATCATTGAAAAGCAGGTCAGCTGGATCCGGACCCCGCCCCCCCCCCCGGCTTTACACCCAGATTACATTCAGGTTTGGGGCTCTTGCCTCCATGTCCGGCTGGTGAACCTCTGGTCTCTGTGCGCGGGGAACCTAGAGGTCTTTGCAGGTAGCCAACGACTCTTTAATCTTGCGTGTCAACAAAGCTAGCAGCTCATTTGGGCCAGGGCGACTCTGCCCTCAGCCTGGCGTGTTTGCGCGCTCGCGCTTTCTCGCTGCGGCCGGCGGCAACTCCCACGGCCCATCAGCGCGCGGGGACAGGCAGCGCCTCTGCGTGCACGTCTGAACGCAGCTTATCTCCCGTCACGGGGCCAGCGACTGCGCCGAGGCCGCGCCTCTATAGATGTGGGCGCGCGGATCCCACCCTTGTTCCCCCTTCGGGTTTGATTCAAAGCGCCTTTAACCAGCGTTTTTTCCCCACAGGCCGCCCCCGCCTGCGAGGGCTTTCCTGGAGCAAACCGTCGCCCGAGGCGGCGTTTCTCCAGCGCGTGTGCGCGAAGAAGCGGGAGAAGGACGTCGTGAGGAGGAGGACGAGGCGGTGCAACGCCCGCTTAGTAGGAAAGGTAGCATAAAATAAGAACGAAACGCCCGTCTCCTGCCTCTCCAAGGGAGCAAGGAAAACGAGCCCTCGTCCCCCATCTTGTTTCTCCCGTTTCGCGGCCTGAGGAGGCGTCGCCCGCCCTTGAGGCGCGCGCGAGGCGGCGGCGGAGGTGGGGGGGCGGTGAGGCCTGAGGGAGCGGAGATCCCTCCGCCTCCGTGAGTCGCCGGCGGCGGCTGAGACTCGAGGGCGGCGCCGCCCGCCCCTTGCCCTCCTCCTCCCGCCTGCTCCGCTCCTCCCTCGGCCCTGGGCCTGCGTCGGGTGTGAGGAAGGGGGGAAAGCCCCGAGGGCGCCCCGTCCCTCCCTCTTTCCCCTCCCTCCAGTCTCTCGCTCTCTCTCTCTCTCTCCCCCTCAGGTGGAGATAGTTTCTAGAAGCCCGTCCCGGCGTCCTTTGCGGCCCCAACATGGAGGAGCTGACGGTGGAAGTGCGCGGCTCCAACGGGGCCTTCTACAAGGTACGCCTCGCCCTCTCGCCGCCGGGAGCCCGGGGAGGAGCGGCCTCGGCGGGGGGACGGGGTACGGCCCGTTACTGCGGGGTTGGGGCCGGAGGGGTGGGCGGAAGGGCGGCCCTCGGCAGCCACCCTCGGAGCGGGGGAGCCTTTGGCCCAGGCCGGAGCGGGCAGACAGTGGAAGGTTGAGCGGTTTCTTTTTTGGGGTGGGTGGGCGGGTGGGGAGGATAAAAGGTGTGTGAGGCGGGGCGGGGTGGTGTGTGGCTTTTGGGAGGGGCTTGTGGGCGGGACACGGGTGAGGGGAGAGGTCGTGGGGAGAGCCCAAGTTCTGGGTGCGTTACGTGTCCCCGCAGTGTTGAGGTAACGCTTTTTCGTTTTGGACACTCCTGGAAAACGGTGTAACGTGCGAAGGGGCTTCCCTTCGTTTCCCGGGGCAGGGCAGGCCAGGGCTGACTTTGTGAAGCACCTTGAGAAACCTCTTTTGGAGGGTTTTGTCTTGGAAGGCTTTTTTTTTGGCCTTGTTAGCTTGATAAAAGTGGGGGGTGGGAAAGGGAGCTTCTGAATTTTATTTTACTGTGGTGTGTTTAGTCCCCCAAGTAGGACACGGGTGGGGTGGGGTGGGGGTGTTATGAGTCACTTGTGAGGGGTGTGGGGGATGCCCTCTGCTGTGAGTCAAAATACATTTTATATCCCTTTACTAATATTAGATTCAGGTCAGGCAGCATGGAGTCACACCTCTGGTGATAAGTAGACCCACTGCTGTGGTTTGGGTTTTAGAGAACATTTGTGCAAGCTAGGGCTAGAGGTAGGTTGAAAGGTGTGGGATTCTTCACCCAAAATGCAGGTTATTTTGTTTTAAATAAGCTACTCCTTCATAAAGTTAGGAATGCACGACAACCATAATACTTTTACAGACTCTTGAGTTTATTTATGTCACCAGAAAGCTTTCTTCACTGCCACCCTCCCTGGTATGCCAGGATGTTACAGGATCAATACAGGATACTCTCAGCTGTTGCTGTCAGTCTTTCTCCCTAAGCCAAGCCTTGGATGCTTGAAAATCCTAGACCTTTTTATGGCGTGAGGCCTCTGTTCCTCTACAGGAGCACTGATAGGAAGGCAGCATTGTGAATTACAGTTTTATCTGCGCACTGTGAAAGTTTTATTTATACTTAATCATAAATGTATGCTAATTACAACAAAACTATTCACTATGTCTGTGTTTTGGGTGGGTGTAGTGGCAAGTATAACTCATGTAAATGTGATGGGAATTTAAAGTTTGTTGCTAGTTGACATTCCATGCAATACCAATGGCAATTTTGTAAAACTTAAGGTTTTGAAACTAATTACACCACATTTGCATTTTGTACTTGAATTCATATACTTATCAACATGGATCCTACTCTTCATCTGTGGAATAAAGAAATTTAAAGTCTTGTATAAGCTTTACAAATATATCAGAATATAGGCAGTTCATTTGTTCTAAAATTTATATATTTTCTCAGTAGGGCCTTTTTACTGGTTAGTGGTGTCAGGAATTTCTGAGAAGTATTTTGCCTGCCATTTTATTTCTTTATGACCTTGTGCAACATACCTGTGCCTTACTTTAGTTTTGTGACTCCGGGAGTGTTGAAAGGCATATCTTAAGATATTTTCAAATGCAAAGTCATAGTAAAAATTTGGAATTCGTTTTTGTGATACGTGGATGACTTTTCAAAGACAGCAATTGCAGGCTTGTTGAGAGATGTGATTTGACAACATCAGTTTATATGTAAGAAGGTTAGAATGTTCAAGTTTAGTGCCATGTTAAGTGAAAGCTTTTCATTCAGCATTTTGAAAATTTTGTTCAACTTCAGTATGTACATGTGATGAAATTATGTTTATACTTTGCTGAATCCGTTTGGCCTTGAAGCTTCCTCGCTCAGCTAGCACAAGCGTTTATTTTTGAAGAAGTCAGTTTTCTATTCTGCTTTTTCATGTGTGCAGATGGAAGGAGGAGGAAAGTGTTGTTTTCAGAATGGTAAGTCTGTGATTTAAATAAAACCAACCTACTGGCAATAATAGTTGGAACTCCTTGTTGGTGGTAAAAGTAATACAAGGTCTCACTGAGACTGAATTTAATCAGTGATAATTGCTTCAGGCAGTCACATACCAGGCATATATGGTTATTATCATGGATCACAGCACCATTTTAAAATTGAACATTGCTTGGGCCTAGTTGCTGCTAATGTAAAGCCAGGATTTCCAGGGCATTTAAGACATTGCATTTTAGCATTTGTGGAGTTGTTAGCTACTGTTGTAAGTAGCCCTTTGCCTATAGGTGGGCCTGGGATCCAAGTTGAAAAGGTTCCGGATATTGATAGGCCGTGTAAGAATTGGAGAGCTTACAATTTTGATAGTTGGCAAATCTGGAAATGTTTAACTTACTCTTGGATTTCTTTTTTGTGATTTACCGTATATTGGCTAGTGACTATATATATATATATATATATATATATATATATATAGTGACTGACACAAAAATAATTCCAAATCCTCCATTTGAATGCAGGCCATCCTGTTTTAATTTCCTGAATAACTCAGGGAGGATATATTGACAGAATGCAAAATCCATGTGACTATACTTGCTTTTAGATTCTTGTTTCAAAATTATGGCTAGTTAAGATTCCCTCACCCAGCATGTTTATCTACAACAGGGATGGGCAACTTGTAGCTCTTTAGATATTGTTAGATTCCTGACTCCCATCAGCCCTAGTCAGTGTGCCAGTAATTGGAGACAATGAGATTTGTAGTCCAACAATACCTGTTGGACAATAATTGCTTCAGAGCGCTCAGATAGATGAATTTTAAAAAATATATCCGTTATTAGTAAGCTGCCATATGGGGCTTGATTTGTTCATGACCTAATACATGGCTGTGAAACCTGTGGCTATTCAGGTGTTACTGGACCACATCCCCCATCATCCCTGACCTTTGGTCATGCTGGCTGGAGTGATGAGAATTGGGGGATCTGACAACACCTGATACTTCATATCACAAGTTTCCCACCTGTTATAACAATGAATAAATAACCAGAAATATAGTTTATGGATATGGAAGCTATCAACAGTTATTTATTTCCAGTTAAAGATGGTTGCTATTTATTTATTTTTAATCTGGTGTGGACTGGTCTCCAGTTATTAAAAAAAAGCTGACTTTTTCAGTTGATGCAGGTACTTTTGATTTCAAATTGAAGCTAGCTTTAGAAACCCTGTAGCAATAACTTGGCACCAGCATTCGAAACTCACCAGGTGCCAGACGCATTTTGCACCTGCTATCAACCACTTGCAACCAAGTGAAGATGCCAGGATGGCGCCTGACGTCTCCACCATCTGGAGGTGCATGCCTGGGAGATTTCAGAAGAACTTTGCAATGAAATAGCTTGCATTGCACTAGCCATTGTTAAATTAGTGCAGGTTAGAAACTGGACAGTGTCATACTCAATGGAAGAAGGCACAAAATTTTTGTCAAGTTCAAATGATACATAGATTTTTGCAATTTTGGAACTATGCTTTAATATCTGCTTCCAGTGGTTACTTTGAGCTGTATTTGTTCTTTACCAGTACTTTTTACTTTCTGCTGCCCATGAGTCATATCTCTTTTGGATTGAGCTTTACTTGGCTATCTTATAGTCACTGGCAAGTTGCATAGCTGTAAGCTTATTTTAGGTTATCTGGTTTTGATAGTAGAGGCTCTTGAGAAAATAGGAAGTTAAATATTTTATTTCGTGTTATGCCACTGTACAACACTATTTTTTCCTTTGGGTGTATTATGATTTTGAAAAATCAGTTTGAAATCCCAGTGTACAAAGTAGCATAATAAGAATAGTTTTCTGGACAACTAACATGTTCAGAGAAATGGAGAGGTTTTCAAAATAATGGTCTCAATATATCTATGATTTTTTTCAAAGGACTTTGTGATGTGACATTGACTTCTGATAAAATGAATCTGCTAAACCAGGGATCAGGAACCTGTGGCCCTATAGATGATGTTGGACTACAACTCCCATTATCCATGACTATTGACTAAAGTCTGTTTTGGAGGCCTAATCTGGCCCGCTGTTCAATCCGGCCCCTGCGGCAGTTTATTTCGTGGGCTAAAATCCTAAAAAAACCTCAACAACTTCAATCCTAAGAAAAGGTCACCAACTTTGGTTGGCCCTTTGGTCGGCCCTCATGACCCTTTACTTCATCAAATTTGGCCCTCTTTGAAAAAAGTTTGGACACCACTGATCTAGGCTAATGGTGATGGGAAGAGGAATCAAACAACATCTGAAGGGCAAAGCCGTTCCATTCCTGAAATAAACTGTCAAATTCTTCGTTGTTCAGATCATTAAAGCTTTTATGTTGGTTGAACTCCTGCCAAGTACAACATAGTACAAATTTCATTCTATACTGATTCTTGATCAGTATAGAATTCATACACTTGTTTTTATTTGAGAAACTTGGCATGCTTCATGTTTCATCATAAAGTGATCAGATGTGCATAAATGAGATAGTATAGTTCTTATGTGGAAATTACAGTATCATATGAGGAGCCTGTTTTAGTGCACACTTGCGTGAATAGATCAAACCCCTTTTTTATGGGATGCTCATTGCAGGGGTGTTTTCAAACTAGCAATGTGAAGCATGATGAACAGTTCTATAGCTATAACTTCCCAGTTATGCATGTTTGAATTTATTCTGGGTCTTGAAGGACACAGTTTCCCCTGACACCCCCCCCCATTTGCTCAGTATTGATCCAGTATTCCCCCCGCCTCGCATTTGCTCAGTTATGGTCCAGTATTTCCTTTGATACACCAATATACCAGTGACACAAACAAACATTGAGAGTCGTCGTTGGAGCTTTGATTTAGATTCTAAAGTTTACTGGTGTGTGCACATCAAGGTCATAGAATCAAATTACAAATAACTAAGTTGAGCCCATACTTGTAAGTTTATTATAACTTTATTTATTTATTACATTTATATTTCACCTTTCCCCACGGAGCTCAAGGTCCTATGCATTGTTTTCTCCATCTCATTTTATCTTCACAACAACCCTGTGAGGTAGGTTAGGCTGAGAGGCAGTGACTGGTGACCTTCATATGTGAGTGAAGATTTGAATCCTGATTTCCCAGCTCCTAGTCCAACACTCTTAATCACCATACCACAAAGGAACACAGGAAACTGCCTTATACCGAGCCTAGCCATTGGTCAGTCTAGCTCAGTATGCTGACACTAACTTGATAGCAGCTCTGCAGGGTTTTAGACAGGAGTCTTAACCAGGCTGGCAGTTGAACCTGATTCACTTCCCCCCCTCCAGAATTTATGAAGCAAACGGAAACATCAGACCAGGGAACACGAGTGGTTTGGTTAAAGGTAGAAATAGAAAGCTCTAAACGTGTAAGGTAGCAAGAAATGAGGAAGCAAAGTTATTTTCAGCCTGTGATTTTGACTGTGTATTTGAAATCCCTCCAAATCCCTGAATTCTAAGTTTACTTGCTCTGTTCTTAACAAGGTCTTGTTGAATCTCAGTACACCGGGGTTGTCAAACTGGCATCTACAAATGTTGGCTGGGCTTACTAGTCAGTCGTTATTTGTGGTTGTCCTCCATCCGTTTAGCATGAGCAGAGGGCTTGAGAGGTGCTATTTTTTAATTTGTCCTGAATATGTGGAATATCTTACATTCCATAGCTTCAAACTACAGTGGTACCTCAGGTTGCATACGCTTCAGGTTACATACGCTTCAGGTTACAGACTCTGCTAACCCAGATATATTACCTCTGGTTAAGAACTTTGCTTCAGGATGAGAACAGAAATCGTGCTCCAGCGGCGTGGCGGCAACAGGAGGCCCCATTAGCTAAAGTGGTGCTTCAGGTTAAGAACAGTTTCAGGTTAAGAATGGACCTCCGGAACGAATTACGTTCTTAACCCGAGGTACCACTGTACAGGGCATATGAGGGCTGCATTTGTGACTATCCTTTTTGCTCTTGTTGAATGGATATGTAAGATGCTTGAATTTTGGCATTGGGATTTTTGTTGATGTTGACAAACTGAATAATTTGTCAAGGAGAGAGGTGTGAGAGGCAGGGTGATAATGGGGTAGTTAGATCAGAAACAAAGGTGAATGTTTAAGAGCTGTATGAACATCATAAATGTTGTCTAGCACAGGGGTAGGCAACCTAAGGCCCAGTCGCCTTCTCAATCCGGCCCGTGGACGGTCCGGGAATCAGCGTGTTTTTACATGAGTAGAATGTGTCCTTTTATTTAAAATGCATCTCTGGGTGTTTTGTGGGGCATAGGAATTTGTTCATTCCCCCCCCCCCATATAGTCCGGCCCCCCACAAGGTCTGAGGGACAGTGGACCAGCCCACGGCTGAAAAAGGTTGCTGACCTCTTATCTAGCATTTTGTCTTCCAGCAGTGGCTACCTGGATTGTCCTTGGAAGTTCACAAGCTGATCAAAGCTCCATTCATTTAAATCTCATAGGTTTCAGTGGAACTTTAGCACATGCAACTATATTAAAGTTGGCAACTTGTAGGCTGAAGTACTGGGATGCAACAACAAAGCTAAAAACTTAGGGGATTTTGAGGAAATCCAGTACTGAGACCAGATGATGGATTGCATCTGTAACAGGTTCAAGGCTCTCTTGGTGCAGTGGCTTGAGATTTGTTCTTCAAACAGTCTTGAGATTTGTTCTTTAAAATATAAATCTGTATAGAAATGAAATTAATAATAACAATAATGTCCACCACAAAAAAATCCAACACTACCTAGGCATTATACTGTGGTGACTGCAATGTAGGTTTAAGGTGTCATTTGGCGATTAGATTATATATCTGAGTTTTTAATACTGCCTGTGGACAAGATCCATAGCATTATGTTCTCTTGGACCCTGTTCTGCTGCTTAGTGCTCTGGTGGCATCTCAGCGATAGCTACATTTTCCCTTCTTTCTTTGTGAGTCTGCTTTTTTCTTTTTCTTTTTAAGCTCTATAGTTTTTGTATAATTTTAAGATTGACATGTTGTATTTTACAGCATAGTCCACTGTGAAAAACTTCTTGGTTCTCAGGGGGCTTCTTCAGACTGTTGCGTTCAGCACGGTAGAAATAAGCCTAGGTGAACCTCAAGTTCCCACATTTTTCTGGTGTGGTCATGAGAAGGAGTTTGCAAGCTTTTGCTTCTGTTTTATGCAGTGGAGGAGCAGATTAGCTGAAACCTATTTCTTGGGAACTAGTGCATTCATGCTAAGCCAAGGTTTGACTTAACATGACATGTGAATGTAGCCACTGTAGTTAATAACATAAGAACACCCTGCTGTGATGGACCAATGACCATCTAGTTCAGCATCCTCTTTTCACAGTGGCCAACCAGCAAGTACGACCTGAGTCTGTGGAGGCAGAGCATATCTATCCTGGCTAGTAGTCACTGATACAGCCTTTTCCTCTATGAATTTGAAGGCATGGATGATTTTCATTCTGGTGAATAAGAACGCCCCTGGGGCCTGAGCTATGTATTGTGAGGCTTACAGCTCAATCCTGTGTAGAATGAAACATGCTTAAGGCAAAGTCAATGGACTTGAGATTGTAGGATCAGCTGTTAGCACAGCAGCAGGAGATGGAGTTGTGAAAAGGAGGTTGCATTACAGCAGCTGAGTTAGGCTGCCAGAAAACTTGAAGTGGATTACTTGAGTGGAGGGGAAACTAGTAGCCTTTTAGCTTGATGCTGAAAGCAGATTCCTGCTATTCTCTTCTCTGGCAAAAATGAAGCCCTTTGTTGATGAAGTGGATGAACAGAATGAAGAGCTCATCTATGTCAAGAGAGTTTGATTGGGAGAAGTATCATTGTGAAGAGCTGCTGGGCAGGAGTTGGGAAAAACTCAGGATTTTTGGGAAAAGGGAGTTTATGCTCTGTGTTCTCTAGTTATGTATGGACTATTTGCTACTGAGCTGGGGCAATGTTTAATTTCTAAAAAGAGATATGCAGCAACTTGGATTTGTGGAAAATTAATTATTTGTATCCTCTTTAATTTCTTCGTGGGAAGGGGAGGGCAGATTGCACTTCCTCAATGGCAGGAGAAAAACACATTGTGTGTGCTCGGGCATGTTCCCATGCTCTTCCTGACTGATAGAAATAGTTGTTGACAACACAGTTTGTTGACTGGTGGTTTCAGTAATTCTTTAAGTAAACTTGAAACTTTGCCGATGTGGCTGGGACTCTTAATTTAGCTAGAATTGCCATCACTTATCACTGTAGCAGTTTTCTTTCCTGAAAGGAAAAGTGGAACGTTTCCTTAACTTAGTTCTGATGTTGTAATCTGTGGTGTGCTAACTGCACAATAATAGCAGTATTTCTCTTGTAATATTATACTTTGGCCAAAATTAATTAGCCTTTGAGTGTTGTAGCTGAAGATGAGATTACTAATAAACTCAGTGAACCCTTTATTAATTTTTACTACGGCCGTACCTTGGATCCCAAACGCCTTGTAAGCCAAACGTTTTGGCTCCCAAACGCTGCAAACCCGGAAGTGAGTGTTCCGGTTTGCGAATGTTCTTTGGAATGTCTGACGCGGCTTCTGGTGCTTGCAATTGGCTGCAGGAGCTTCTTGGTTTCCGAACATTTTGGAAGTCTAACGGACTTCCAGAACGGATTCCGTTCAGCCTCTGAGGTACCACTGTATATTTGTTTCTTCTTACCTAGAAGTAAATATTAGAATAGTTATAAGCTGAATAGTTCTATAATACGGTTGACGAATATCCATTTTTCCTTACAGCTACTGCAAACCATTAAGTATCTCTTTTGTATGCAGTCTTTGGCATATTTACCCATGTTGTGTTTTTTCTTAAAAATTGTTCCCGTTTAAAATTACCATTCTAATGGGAGGGAGGTGCCATTTTGCAAAAGAAAAAAATCATTCTTGATAACAGTATTTAACAATTTTTATACTTTATTCTAGGGGTTCATCAAAGATGTTCATGAGGATTCACTCACAGTTGTGTTTGAAAATAAGTACGTACTATGTTGAAAAATATTACTCCCTTTATTTAGATACATGATGTGCCATCCCCCAGAAATGCATAACACATAGTTCACTATGGAGACAAAGCGCAGGAACTTGACTACAAATACAGTTGAATGTAAAATAGAAAGAACACACTTAAATGTTGTTGCTAAGTTCTTGGAGCCACAGTAGTCCTGTAGTCTTGGCAACTATAGTAAATTGAAACGGGTTTAAATAGAAATACAGCTGATCTTACTGTGTTGACAATGGGGAGGCTGGTAAATAGCCACTCTGTTGGCTGCCTCCCTGTGACTTAAGGCAGAGATCCTTCTATAAATTAGAAGAGAACATTTCCCTCTCCTCTCTGGCTGTCACTGTCCTGGTTTAGGTGATTGGGAGCAAACTGCAACAAGTCTCAGTCTTGTGTTCTTCCTTTCCCCACGACCCTAATACTTGAGAGAGACCTTCCACTTTCATTTTAGAACAAATTACAATGCTGAATATCTACAGTGAGGGGAAAAAGTATTTGATCCCCTGCTAAATTTGTCCATTTGCCCCCTCACTGTATATACCACAGAAGTGTTGTTTGTTTAAACCAGGGTAAAACTGATATTGGAACCTATTTTTTTGGCCAACCTTGGTAAGAACAAACCACAGTTCCCAGCATTCATATGTAATATGGAACTCTAGTTTATTCTAAAGTGAAAGCAGAAATGTTTGCTCTCTTCTCATCTGCAAAGGATGAGAGAGTGGGAGAGCGCATAAAGCCAAGGCTCACCACAGCTTGCTCATAATCATTTGCATCATAGTTTAGGATAGAGAGTACCATTTGAGCCACGGATGGTTAATATAAGTGTGTGTTGTTAAGCAATCTAACAAAAATGTTGTTGGCTTTTGAATATTGAGGTTCTCTGTTTAATATTAGTGTGGACAGTATTCTATTTGTGTCCAATATTAGTATTTAAATAATCAATTTAAAATTACAACTGTGAACCAGGGTTACCTTTTCTTACTGACCGTGACGTAATTTGAAACTTTCAGCTGGCAACCAGAACGCCAAGTTCCCTTCATTGAAGTAAGATTACCACCACCACTTGATATCAAGAAAGAAATTGGTGAAGGAGATGAAGTGGAGGTGAGTTCATCCAGTGATGGGCCGTGACTTGTATTTTTAGAGGTACTGTTGGTCAAGTTAGACCCTTAATTCCAATTATGTCAAAATGAATGGAATTTTCACAGCAATGCTTGGTCACTTGTGCCATGGCTATAAATTAAAGAAGTCCCCTCTTTCCAGTAGCTACACAGCTGTCGGGAGTCAGTCTGCATGTTGTTATTACCAAGTAGAATGTATTCTTCATGAAAGCTATGTAACATACTTTTTGGGAAGACCATGTATAGTGAGGACAAACAAGTTCTGAATTAGATACACAGGACACAACTCTCAAATCCAACAGCAAGGTGCATTTATTCCTCTAGGAGGCACTGCATTGTCACCAAAGAAGGGAGGAGGATTCAGGGCTTCCTCTTGTTGCCATGGTTGGTGGATCTGTTTCTGTTCTGTGTCATGCTTGTTTATGCCTCAAATTTGTCATCACATAATGACAAATATGAAGAAACAGAAACTGATTGCGATAGTTCAGAAAATGAAACTGATCCTATGAATACTGCATTAAATTTAGTCTCCCCTCCAACCCTTTTCTCAGCTATTCTTATGGCTCATAGACATGGAACCACAGAATTGTAGAGTAGGAAGTCCAGTCTCCTGCAATGCAGGAATCTCAACATGCGGTCCCCCATCCAATTTGAAACCATTCTTTGTTTCAACATGACACGGTTTTGTGTCTGCATGACAATGTAGAGAACTGAGGAGATGCAGTGATTTTGAGAATTTAATAATTTTCTTTGTTTTACTCATAAACTGACAATACCAAAGAGATGCTAGGTTCCTTACAGTTCAGTAGTTTGTAGCTCCAATTGTAACACATTTTAAAAAGTAAATTCAGTTTGTAATTAATGTTTGACTAAACTCTACTTCCAACATAACAAATATGGTATTTTACGATAAAGTCATACACAATACATTTTATGTTCCTAAAGTAAAAAAGTTGCTTTTGATGTGTAAATGCTGCTTTAAAAATAAATACTGGGTATTTTTCAGTTTCCCCCAAAATTTGTGTTTCCTCTGAAAAAAAACTATCTCCTCCCCCCGCCTGGCATGACTTCAAAATTTCTGGAAATTTTACATCTTTACCTATTTCCAAAGATGAATTGGACACCAGTAGAAAATTGTTGCCAGCAGATTATGCCAAGCTCTTTATCCATCTGCCCCCATTTTGTAATTGGCTTCATCCCTGTGCTGCCATTTTGTGATTGATAGGCCTATACAATTTTCAGCCGTGTCATTTGAGCCTTGCGAGTAGAATGTTTGAGAACCATTGCTCTGTTTTATATAAAGATATGAAGACAGACAAGATTATCTTAAATTTTATATTAAGGGAAAGAATTTACTTTTACAATAGTTTATGCCTGTATTTGTATTGATACTTGTAATTCTGGTGTACACAGAAAAAGAAAATCCAGCTTTCAGTAGCCATGATTTTGTTGGCTGTCCACAAACATCATTGAAATGAATCTGGGTAGTGCTAGTTTGTGAAGATTGAAAGATATTCTAATCAATATGGTTTAAATATGCTGTATGATTCTCCCCCCAGGTGTATTCACGAGCGAATGAGCAAGAGCCTTGTGGATGGTGGCTAGCAAAAGTTCGAATGATGAAAGGGGAGGTAAGTAGGAGTAAAACTTGGGAATTGTAAGCAAACTTCATGAGGAAACATCTAAAGAAAGCATTAAACCTAAGAAAGTTTTAAACCTCTGTGTAGGACGTTATAAACAAGAGCACTCCAAAAAATAAACTACGGTATGCAAGTCTAGTAACCTATTTACATGCACTCCCCAAAATGGATGGGATTGGGTATTCTTATTTAAATTTGCTGAAAGTTTTGCTTCCTGAGAGTGGTGGAATGGCAAAGGCAAAGAGGATGATTCAAATATTTATCATGCTAACTATTTAGTGCTCTTTGGGTTGCGTCCAGCTAAGTCATACTCGAGAGAAGACCTATTGAAAACAATGGATTTGTTACTTTTAAGTCCATGGGTTTCAGTGAACCTGCTCTGAGTATGCCTTAGTTGAATGCAGCCCTCTAACTCAGAGGTTTTCAATCTTTTTGAGACCACGGCTCCCTTAACCAACTACATTCTTTCTGCGGCACCCCTGTGAGGCGCAGGAGCTCAGTTACGTCCCCCTTTGCCTGCAGAGCTGGCAGCCTCTTACCCTTTTTTGAACACCCTCCCTTGTGGAGTGTTCCCTCAGCCTCCTCTCCTTCCCCCTCTGCTTGGGAGTCCTCTGGGCAGCTGTTGCTACCGACCCTGGTCTCTGAGCTGCCCCACCCCCTGCCCCAAAGAGGTGTGCCTCCCAGAGGCACCATTTGCCTGCACAGCTTACAGCCAGGGCTGCTGCAATAGCCAGCTGTGCAAACCCTAGGGAAGCAGAGATGCAAGAGGGCATCAGAGGAGGGAGAGAAGGAAAGAGCGAAAGAGTCCAGTGTTGCCCTGAGCATCATTCAAGGCACCCCAGGGTACTCTGTTTTCCATAACAGTTCATTTCCCAATGTTACACCTTTTTGTTCCTATAACACAGTCTTTGTCAACCTGGTGCGTTTAAGATGTTTTGGACTACAACAGCTGTGCTGACTGCGGCTGATGGGGGTTGTAGTTCAAAAACATCTGGAAGATACCAGGTTGACAAAGGTGGAAAATGCATTTTGCTTCCTTATATTTAGGGCTTCAAAAACCCCATGCTCCTGTTTCTCATGTAGTATAAAGGCTGAGTTTTACACTACGATTGGTGAGACCTGGATTCAAATCCCCCCCCCCATATCAAGGAAGCCCATTGGACGACTTTCGTCCAGCTGCACACTTTAGCCCAACTTAAACCTTATTGTTGATGTATGCCACCCTTACATTGGAGGGCTGTGATAAAATGCAGTATATCAACAAAGCTGAGGCATGTGTTTTTTGAGGATGATACACTATGGAGATGATAAACTGCTATGAGTATTTCTGCATATTTTTGGGTCAAATAATTTTAGAGGTCTTCGGGGGGGCAAATGTGTGCCCTTTAGATTGTTTTTTTTAAAAATAATTCTAATCTGTCCTTAGTTCTACGTCATTGAGTATGCTGCCTGTGATGCCACTTACAATGAAATAGTGACATTCGAACGACTTCGGCCTGTGAATCAAAACAAACCTGTTAACAAGAACACATTCTTCAAGTGTGCAGTAGAAGTTCCTGAAGATCTAAGAGAAGCGTGAGTGACTACTCTAAAATTTCATTATATTGCTATCTTTTATCTAAAAATTGGTTTTCTTTTAAACAACTTAAAGCTGCTTTTTTTTTAAATAAAAAAAATCATCTGAAGTCTTGGACAGATGAAAGATGGAGTACACAGTTACCTGGGAATAGTTCCCATTATACTCAGTAGGATTTACCTCCAAGTAGACATGCATTAGATGACGCTGTGACTCTGTTTTACTGAATCTTCAAGAAAGACAGATGGATAGGAAGGCCTAGACATGCAGCAGGATTTTCTCAGTACAGGCATACCTCAGAGATCGTGGGTTTGGTTCAGACCACCGCAATAAAACGAGTCACACAATTTGTTTGGTTTCCCAGTGCATATAAAAGTTATGTTTACACTATGGTCTATTAAGCCAGGCCCCCCTGACTGCAGGGCAGGAGGGGGAAAACCTGGCTCCAGCCCTAGCCAGCTCCACTCTTGTGGCCAGAAGGGTGGCAGCAGTTGGGGGGCTTCTTTCCCCTGGATGTGGCCAGGCTGCCTGCAGCTGCACCTGTGTCCTCTTAAGGAGCAATATCTGTGAAGTGCAATAGAGCGATGTATGCCTGTAGCAGGGAGAAGTGGGTGAGAAATTCAAAGGCCATAGACTAGATTTTTATTGTGGCAGAAAACAGAAATTGCTGAGAGGCATGAAGAGGAAGAAATAGGAAGGGACCCTAGCAACAGGCGACTGGGTTTCAAGTAGGAGTTTCATTTTTTATTAATGGTCATTAGTTTGGTGGGTAAAGATGGATCACCAGTCTTACAAGCTTCAGCATTCAAGGAAGAGGAAATTAACATAACAGGAATATCACCATCTCTGGGTCCTGCACTCACTTGTACAAAGGTATTGGATTTTTTTTTCATGCTTTTGAATGCTTTGCCTCGAGTATTGCAGTTTTATACAGCAGCATGTTTTGTTGATAAAACTGCCACCTGAATAAATTTATAAATTGATTTTTCTAGGTGTGCTAATGAAAGTGCCCATAAGGATTTTAAGAAAGCTGTAGGAGCCTGCAGAATTTTTTACCAGGCTGAAACTGCTCAGCTAATAGTACTGGTAAGGTATATTTTCTGTTTGGTTTGATCACTGTGTGAGTTTACTTTTTGGCTAATGTTACGATTGTGTATGAGGGAGAAAAAAAAGATTGAAGACTGAAGGTTATCTCCAGCTTTGTATTCAGAGTAGGTCCATTGAAATCAATGCCTATTGTTTCAAATGAGTCTGTTCTAAGCACAGCTTAGTTCTCCAGTAACCTTAGTAACCTTGTTACTTGGGTATATTGAGAAGCTTTCTGCTTGTGAGTGAGAAATTTGCTTTAGAGATTCCAGGGTAGAAAGTTGTGGGCAGAACCAGTAGGCAGAGGATCTCATGCAAGCTAATGCCCAGGCTTTACTATTTTGCCTTTGACACTTCTGTGTATATTGCAATACAAGTCAGCTGGGTCAGGCTGAAGGGTGCGTGTGCCAAGATACCTTGCATAACTTTGTGTACACCCCCATCCACATTTCCTGCCGCAGCTGATGCATCTGTATGGGCATTGCTTTCTGCCGATAGTAGGTCAGGCTATCCCAAACAATATCCATCGCACCATTTTGATCCAGTGATGAAAATAAATGTTTGCTGACCTTGTTTCAAAAACCAAAAACAACAAGCATTCATTGATGTTCTTCTGAGTAACGGAAGAACTTCTGTCACATTTTTCCAAAACATGCAGTTGTAACAAGGAATTGTTAAATAAAATGAGGGCTCTCTAGCTATAAATTGCCTCGTAAAGTGGAAATGCTGTTTGTATCATTGTTACTTTATTTCTACAGTCTGCCAGTGAGGCAACAGTGAAAAGAGTAAATATCCTGAGTGACATGCATTTGCGCAGCATTCGAACGAAGATAATGCTTATGTCAAGAAATGAAGAAGCAACAAAACATCTAGAAGTGAGTTGTCCTCATACTGGCTCCCCCCCCCCCCCCATTTCAACCTCCCTTCTCAATTCCAGTCTTGATGTAGCTGTTCTCATATTTGAAGTTCTGCTGTTGTAAACAAATTATTTTGCCTCCTCCCTAGTGCACAAAACAGCTTGCAGCAGCATTTCATGAGGAATTTGTTGTCAGAGAAGATTTAATGGGACTTGCAATAGGAACACATGGTAGTAATATACAGCAAGCCAGGAAGGTTCCAGGAGTTACTGCAATTGAGCTTGAGGAAGATACCGGAACTTTCAGGATCTATGGAGAGGTAAAAGGAAACAAGGGGTTTCTTACCTTTGTAGTTGTGTGGCGTTCTTTTTCTTTACTTGCCCTAGTGGTCTGAATTTGGCATGAGCCTGCAACTATATCAGCCTGCCTCAAACTGCAATAGATGCCTCCCTCCGGTGTCCAAGGATCAGGGAGCTTGGTAGAGACCTTTTCCATTGTGGCCCCAAAGGCTGTGAAACTCCCTGCAGTGGATCTGCAGCAGGCTGCCAAACTATAGTCGTTTTGGAAGGCTAACATACCTTTTCCAAGTGACTGATTCTTGAATTAAGTTTTATTGGTTAGACTGGGTTGCTGTTGCTGTGGAAAAACGTTTTAATGAGTTGGCCAAGTATGCTTTTTATTGGATTTTATTGGTATGTATGGGAGGTGTTTTTAGGTTTTTGTTGATATTTTGTAATTTTCTTGTTAGCTACCTTAAGAGACATGGAACTATTTTAAAATAAAATAAATAAAAATGAGATGAGCACAAGATTCCAAAAATTCCATAGCCTTTTTAAGGACACCGTGCATTTGCTAGAAGGGAATGCTTCATAGTAGCTGTTCCCAATTAGCTAAGTATTGAGGACACCCTGTTTTTTAAAAGCCAAGCTATGGACCTTTTGAAAAACTTTCTATCCCTGTGTTTGAAAATAACCTGGGTGGGTTGTCTGAACCTCCTAGGGTTCAAGGAACTCCCAGTCAGGAACCGCTGCTGTATAGAAGGTTGTTTTTACTTGTGTCTGAATGGAAGTTTATATGATGAAACTCGTAGTCACTGCTTTATTTTCACTTGCACTGAAGCTTTCCTGTAGTATTTTGCATGTATTTATACCCCTTTCTGTGCACTTAAACACTGTCTCTTGTGATTGACCTTGTTGTAAATTCCTTTAGAAATCACGGTGCTTAAAGGTATATAAATTGTTGAAAACGTTTGGTTATTAGAGATAGGAGTAGAGAAGCATGAGGCTACTTGAAGAAAACAGAGAAATAACAGAGTTTAAAATAAAAATAGTACAGAAATTTCCCCAAATCTCCTTGTATTTTAGGCCACTAGACTCCAATCACACAGTTCGTAATCTCACAGTTAATAATATGAATGTGTATATTTCTTTAGCATTTGTAAGTTGCAAATGAGATTTTATGTACCTATCTCCTGTCTTATATTTAAATGTTAATTGCCTGAAGGAGTTTTAACTGTTGGAAGGGGTTTTAATTTTTAATATATTGTGTTTACAAATGGCTTCTGTTCTTTTCCAGAGTGCTGAGGCAGTAAAAAAGGCTAGAAGCTATTTGGAATTTGTGGAGGACTTTATTCAGGTTCCTAGGAGTCTTGTGGGTATGTAATAGTAATAAACCTTTTAACATCCTTGAATACCCTCCCCCTGCCTATTCAGTATGAAAATGTTGATGTCTCCTCACTCTTTCATGGCACATCTGAACTACTATTTTGGTGGCTGATACAGTGGAGTATATATAGAGAACAGCTCTGCACTAACAAATGGAGTATTCTGGATTATGGTTAGAGGAGCATGGGAAGGCTATTTCCTTGGAAGAGGAAGCAGGAAATTGAAGGAGATGTTATCCAGGGGAACTGAGTCCAAATAGATTCCCTACCCTCAGTTAATTTCTTTCGGGCTGGAAAGCAAGAGTAGGCAATCCTTCCCCTCAATTGTGCCTCTTCAGCCTACTCTTTTTGCTTCAATTATTGCCTTTCATTTTTCTTAATTTCTTCCTCTTTTTGCCAAAGGAGCTAAGAAGCCTCAAGTGACTCAGTTCATTATCTCCTTGCAGAGGCAGTGATCAAGTGCAGCTCCACTCCTCTCTCCTGAGAGAGAAATTTTAAGCAGATGATACCTATTGCTGCTCCACACTATGGTCGCTTCCTGGGCTCATTCATCTGCCTGCCATCCTTGGTGTATTGGTCATGATACCGAGGGAGAATATAAATATTTTCTCCCTTTGTCTCCTCATGACCAAGTTCTCGTTTAGCTGCTGCCTGGGACTCATTCACTCTTCTTCCCTACCACCTGAGGACAATGCCTACTGATAACTTGAAGCATTGTAGTCTTGCCCCACAGGGTCAGTGTAAGGTACAACCATTGTTCTGCTAGACATGGAGTAGGCTCTAGTAGAAAGTGACATGGGACTGGAGTGATGCTGCTCTAATCCTGCACATCAGATGTTGAGAGAAAAGGTGTGTTTTTCCTACATGGTGAAACTTCATTTTGAGTAAGACTGAACATTTGTTCTCACTGTTTCTGATTCCATATGCCATGGGTTTTGGATCAGTTCATTGTTCATTGACCTTTTAACTTTTCATCTTCCTCCTGTTAAGAATTGTGTGTCCCAAGTAATTGCTGTTCCAGATTAGGGGAAGGGAGCTCTCTTCTTTGGGTAACATCAACTTCTGCCTTGTAGTCTTGAGAAAGTGGACTTCAGTTTTTTGGAATGTGCCTCTCATACCCGGAAAAGAGACATGACTTGTTAAGGCAAAATATCCTCTTTTTCTTCCATATTCCTAAATAGTAATCAGTAGTCAGATCTGAGTGTTTGCTTTATTATAAACACGTTACAACAATCTTCTGAAATTCCCTAACAGAGAGAAACATGGAATAACCTCATTGTTAAAAAATGTGTACAGTGGTACCTCTGGATGCGAACAGGATCCGTTCCAGAGCCCCGTTCGCATCCTGAAGCGAATGTAACACGTGCGTGTGCGGGTCACATTTTGCCGCTTCCACACATTCCACACAGACATTTTGAGCGTCTGCGCATGTGCGAGCGGCAAAACCCGGAAGTAATGTGTTCTGTTACTTCCGGGTCACCGCGGAGCAAAACCCGAAAATGCTTCACCTGAAGTGTATTCATCCTGAGGTATGACTGTATTGTGTTTTTAATGAACCCATTTATAAATAACTTTTATATTAATTATTTTGAGATTGTAAAGGGATTTTTTTTGTTCTCAGCCTTTCAGCTACTTTTATTAATAGATTGCTTGAGAAATACTTGAGAAATCTCAAAATTTTTTATTTTTTTATTAAAGGAAAAGTTATTGGCAAAAATGGCAAAGTTATTCAGGAAATTGTGGACAAGTCTGGAGTTGTGCGAGTGAGGATTGAAGGAGACAATGAGAACAAACTGCCCAGAGAAGATGTAAGATTTATCTTATTTGGAATTTGTAATACATCCAAGGGGTGGCAGGGGTGGATAAATTGTAGTGGTAGAATGATAGAAAAACCACTGCATTAGATTATTCTTTCTGCCTAGTGTCTGATGGACGTGTCACTCACAAATGCTACTACATTGGCAGTAGGAACACAGGAAGCTGCCTACACAGAGTCAGATCGTTAATCCATCTAGTGCAATATTGTTTATGATGACTGGCAGTTGGCAGTAGCTTTCCTGGGTTTCAGACGGGTCTCTCTGGGACTGTCTGCATGTAAAGTAGTTTCTCTTCCATGAGTTGCAGCCTTTCCCCTTAGGGGTGCCATTTGAAAGGTCAAAATGTTTAGTGGTGCCATTTGTGGGTTTTGCCAACTGCTATCTAACACCCTTTTGGTTATTTCAAGCTAAGGTTGTCTTGGCTTCAGACTTTGGCTCTGAATATTTAGGTTATCATTCTAACTGCAGTTCAGCTTTCTTCTTTGAAGATGTCAATACTAAAAAAGTTGGGTAGTGTGATAATTTGCTGTGTTTATGTGGGGATGCTCCCTACACCTATCCCCTTTATCCACTGAGAGAAGGCCCACAGGTAGACTGAATCCATGGTATAGAAAGTTGTAGAAATTCCCATTAAAAATAAAAACAGGCTGCAACCTAGTGCATGGTTACACTTGTGTAACTGTACGCTGGGTTGTAGGCATTATTTGCTTGTGACTCTCTTTGTGCTTCAACAATATTACATTTTATCTTTGTAGGGAATGGTTCCGTTTGTCTTTGTGGGTACTAAAGAAAGCATTGGGAATGTCCAAGTGCTTCTTGAATACCATATTGCCTATTTGAAGGTAAGCATTCTTTGTGGGAAAGACAGCAGTTTCAGTATCATGGAAATGCACAATAGTATGACTTGTGAAGGTGATCAGTATTGGATCCGGAAACACAGAAGATAGCAAACAGCATACACCAAATGCTCTGAAAGCAATGTGGATGAAAGTTGTCTCAAAATCATGGTATTTTTCAGTGCATCATAACATGTTGATTTTCGGTGGGTCTTTCAGTCTACATCTCAAAGCATTACTGCCCTGAGAGCACTGTGCATTGAATAATCCTAATTGAATTTTAGGACTAAAAGAGCTGTTTGCTGCTTTGAATATTGTTACAATAGAAATAGGGGGTGTAAGTGTTAAAAAATACATTTTTTTAAAGAAGCAAAACAGTGGACTTGCTTACATTTAGTGTAACTGTCCATGCAGGAGGTGGAACAGCTGCGGATGGAGAGGCTCCAGATTGATGAGCAGCTACGTCAGATTGGCATGGGGTTCAGACCTTCATCTACCAGAGGTCCTGAAAAGGAAAAGGGTTATACCACAGATGAGAACAACCCTTCCTCTGTACAAGGCTCCAGATCCTATAGTGGAAGAGGTAGGGGACGGAGAGGCCCCAATTACACCTCTGGCTATGGTAAGTTACGCTTAAAGATCAGTTTTGAAAGTCACAGGTTCAGTCCCCGGCATCACCTACCTGACACTCTGGAAAGGCACTGCCAGTCAAGAGTAGACAGTGCAGGAATTTGCTTCGAATAGACTTTGATTAGATACCAAATTTTGATCTGGAAGCTCATATAATTCTTCCCTTACAAGCATTTCAAAGAATAATTTCACACAAGTGTTTAAAGCAGGAATAAGATAAATTTCTTTTGTGGTAGAGATGAAAGGTAGAGGGGGTGACCTTTCAGCCTAGGACCTCATACTCTCCAGCTCATTTCTCACACGTTTGGTGCTTCAGATCCAGGAGAATCTAGTTTTCACTGCTTAATTTTCTAATTTAGTTAGGTGCGTTCAATAATGAGCAATGTTTGGCTCCTAGGCAGCCCATTGTGAAATTTGGCCTGCCTTGTTTCTGTCAGCAACAGTGAATAGTGTTCAATTAGCCTGATAGACGAATTTCAGTAATTTATCAGTATTATTCAGTATTTATCAGTAATAGTGGTCTCAAGGTTCTATACTCCCATCTGTGAATTAAATTGGTCTCATGAAAGGTCACATGCATATCACTAAAAGGTGATTGCACACACAACCCCATTAACTATGTTCAATATTGGTAGACCTTCTTGAACCCATATGAATGTTTGAGCTTTATGAAACTCAATGAAATCTTAAGAATTTGGGGCCTAAAGTTCTCCTTCACTGGGTTAGATTGACCAATGGTCTAACTCAATATAAAACAGCTTCCTTTATTCCTCTTGAGTCCCATCATCTGCAGTATGGGAAACCATAATGCTGCTTAACTGGCAGGGCTGTTGTGAGGAATACAACTAGAAAATTATAAAAACGTAGTGGAGGCCAAGCTGTGAATGGTGGACATGCTGTGCTTTGAATTTTATTACCAGTGTTTGATAGCTTTTAAAAGATTTTGACACTTTAAGAAATCCACAGTTGTCACTTAACTTGGAAATCAAGAGCATCAAAAATAAATTACTGAATGTGAACTTCAGAAATAGTCTTTTCTGTTTGGCAGCATCCTTTCATACTTGTTTCTGCAAACATTAACAAAAAATGGGTATACAGAAGCCCAACTATAGCTGAAGGGTCTGTAGTGTGTATTCAGGCTTGTTGTCCACCTTGGTCTAAATTGATCAGATCTTTCAAATATGTCATTTAGTGTTAGCTACAGCAAAATAATAATCTCCTAACAAACAAATGGGTTGCCTGATGAGGTACTGTATAGTTGTTCCAATGAGTGCGTCATTTTACTGTTACTTTATATGTGGTAATGTGATACGTAAATTCATGTTTAGAGTGTTGTTTTCATGCCAGGCTCCACATACATGTTTCTACGTTGCTTGTGAAAAGAGGTGGCAGCATGTTCAGAATCTTGGACCTCTGTATGCACCGTGGACAAAGTTTTCAGCAGCCAGCCCTTCGTGTTTCTGCTTAGTGGGATGCTTGGGAATAATAGGCATGTTTGGAAGTAGAGGCTTCCATTTTTGTTGTTTTGTTTGCCACCACTTCAAGAGGTTTGGAGGTCTCTTTTTAAGCCTTTATAGTTGTCACATATTGACAGCCCAAGTTCTAATGGGAAATCCTGCCCTCCTTGTTTACATGTTTTGATTGGAATTAGTAATATTGCAATTGTCCATTATATAATGGCATCATATTGTATGTTTCCATGGGAACATCTTTTATCCCTCCCTGCCATGTTGTTTCATAACTGAGCACTGTGGGCTATTAATAACCCAAGACCATCAGCAGTAGGGTTTTAGACTGACTGAAAGACTTTTTGTTTGTGTTGGCAAGGTGTTCTTTGATTGAGATGTATGAATGTTACAAGAGTAAAAGTAGTAGTTTAGGTGTTCAGTTAGCGCTGCATCCTGTGTGGTGTAGTGGTTAAGAGCGGTAGTCTCGTAATCTGGGGAACCGGGTTTGAGTCTCCGCTCCTCCACATGCAGCTGCTGGGTGACCTTGGGCCAGTCACACTTCTTTGAAGTCTCTCAGCCCCACTCACCTCACAGAGTGTTTGTTGTGTGGGAGGAAGGGAAAGGAGAATGTTAGCTGCTTTGAGACTCCTTAAAGGGAGTGAAAGGCGGGATATCAAATCCAAACTCCTCCTCCTCCTCTTCTTCTTCTTCTTCTTCTTCTTCTTCTTCTTCTTCTGTGGCAATTAGATAAATTACATGGAAATTGTGTTGAAGCTAAGGTGAAATGGTAGCATCCGCAATTACATACATAAGAAGCCCCTTTCAGATCCACTCTGATATGGTTCCCATTAGTGATCATTTATTCTGTTTTGTGTGTATGAATGAAGTTTTTCTACTAATATTCAGTATTAGACTGTGCAGAAATAGGTTTACTTCACATGCTATGCATCCACCTTGGCATCTAGTTTGTGCTGCAGAATTCAATTTCTCATCTAATCTGTCAAGTCAGTTTTTTGTACTGAGTTCTGTTATGTGTTTCAGACACTGGTGCACTGGCCTTACGTTGTGCATTCTTCTGGGAATGGTACTTTTCTTCTTGTAGAGCAAACGTTTACCCCTAAAAGTTGTGCCTCAGAAAATTGCATGTATCTCAGCTTTCTTTGCTAGTGGCATTCTTCTGCTAAAATTCAAAATGGTACTAGAACAGTACCTGATTATCACCTCTCCCTCTCATTTATTGTAAAGGAACAAATTCTGAGCTGTCTAATCCCTCTGAAACAGAATCGGAAAGGAAAGATGAACTGAGTGATTGGTCATTAGCAGGAGATGATGACAGGGAGAGTCGACACCAACGTGACAGCAGAAGGCGTCCACCAGGGGGAAGAGGGCGCAGTGTTTCTGGAGGTCGTGGACGTGGTGGTCCCCGAGGTGGGAAGTCCTCTATAAGTTCTGGTATGTATTTGAGAGGCGTATTTTGTGTGTTGTGATTGCACTGAACTACTTCCCTCTTAATTGATGATGGTTGATTTTTAATATTTTAAAGTTAAAATATGAGATGAAACGTGCTCTTACTGGTTTTGTCATTTCCTTTAAGTGCTGAAAGACCCAGACAGCAACCCTTACAGTTTACTTGATAACACAGAGTCTGACCAGACTGCAGACACAGACGCAAGTGAATCACACCACAGCACTAACCGGCGTAGGCGATCTCGTAGACGAAGAACTGATGAGGATGCTGTCTTAATGGATGGGATGACAGAATCTGACACAGCATCTGTTAATGAAAATGGCTTAGGTATGTAAATAGTCTTATCAGCGCTGTCTAACTAAAAAAAATATAATAGTCACTCTTCATTTTCTTAACTAGCATTTTATTCTACTTGTTTCCTTGTGGTTCAAAAGTGTGTCCTCATCTGTTGTAGTATTAAAAGATTTTAGCTCTATATTGGACTGGAATATTTTGGACCAAATAATCGGAAAGGCTGACTTTCATTTGATTGTTGTCTTAGAGATGCCTTCTGATATCTACGTCATATTTAGGGTTTTGCAACCATATCTCTGCTACCCTGTTACCATATATGCATCCAGTCCAATTTTAGCCTTAGTCCATAGTAATGGGATAGCAGGGCATACATTGAACTCATTCATAAGGCTTCAGTCCATGTAGATATCTGCTATCGACTTGGTGGGAAAGTCAGAGGAGCCAGGCCTTAATTTCACATTTGTTTACTTCTCAAGAATTAGAGTCCCCTTTGCCTTCTCTAGGTCTTAAGTAGTTTTATTGCTGAATTTGCTAAATGAACTTTGGGAAGAAGGAAATTGAGGCCAGGAGAAGAGTCCCCATTTCTTGCTCCTCTAAGGCTGTGATTCAAAACATACTTAAAAATAAGTAGGGCTTCCGTGTATGTGATTTCAGGTCTAGGGTTTATTTTCAGTGTCTAAGAATAGCCATTTACAGTTTAAGCAAATCACACCAAGGAAAAAATCTTTCTCTTGAGATGGGGAATTAATTTCTTTAGCCAAGGTTTAACTTTCGGTACCAACTTAGTGATAACATCTTAAACAGAGTTGCAGTTGCTTTTTCAGTCCCCTGATGTGTAAAAGTTTTTTGCGCTACTTAGCCATTCTGAATACTTTTTCCTTTGAAATTGTTGTGTGCTAAATTGCCAGCAGAACAATTTGGTCACCGAGAAAGTTCATAGTAAAACTTTGCAATTGCAGATGATAGAGACAAAAAACCCCAGCGACGCAATCGTAGTCGCAGGCGTCGTTTCAGGGGTCAGGCAGAAGATAGACAGCCAGGTAACTCGATTGGAGAGGTGAACCACCTCGGGTCACAAGCATGAAGGAATGCTCTGCGTTTGCTGTTTGTGTACCTTCTAAAATATATGTAAAGCTGTCTTTTGTAAATAATGATTGCTTAATACTAATCAAACTGCAGGATGAGAAATGGTCAGTGGGGCATGTTCTAGTTTTTATAATGAAACTAATACTGTTGCCTTTTATTTGGTGTACTTCCACTGTAAGAGTGTGCAGAACTTTACTTAATCTATGTTGAAATTAGAGGACAACTATAAATGAATGTCATAGGTGCAAGGGTATGTATTCCATGTTGCAAGTAACACTGTCAGACAGACTCTTCCTTCGGCCTTCTGGCATCTTTCCTTAATATGCATAAAAGGTATGTTAGCCAAGTTTTAGTGCTGTAGCAAACCAGGATGCATGGAGCCTTCCTGTCCTTTGAATCAAACTTACATCTCTTGCTTTTAAGAACACCAGAAATCACAACTAAATTAAAACAAAAAATTGTTGCATGTTCATGCTTTGATAATTGTGGTTTGACAGATTTTTTTAAAAAAGCATACTAACACCTTACATATTTTAAAGGTGTAAAATACCTTTCAGTATAATTCTGAGTGTTGCACCTGTAAATTCATCGTTTGTTGTGCTAAGTATTCCCCCCCCCTAAAATGTAGTGTCTGTATTTCACTCAAGTAATTATTGGTGTTGCGTTTGCTACATTATCCACACACAGCAGCTTAAACAAGCTATTGAACAACAGAGGCATACCACACACAATCCATCTGCAGCTTTTGTCAAATGATGGTGTAGATTTGCTTCTGCAGAAGCATAGAATTGGAGAATACCGGAAAGTCATATAGAAGGGTTGTTGCTAAGTGGCAGAGCCCATGCTTTCCATACAAAAGGTCCCAGTTTAGTCCCCAGCATAGAATCATAAAATTTTAGGGTTGGAAGGGACCATTCTAGTCCAACCCCCTGCAATGCAGGAATCTCTTTGCCAAACGCTGGCCTTGAACCCACAACCCTGAGATTAAGAGTCTCATGCTCTACCGACTCAGCTATCCCAGGACCAAGTTAGGGCTTCTCCAGGTAAGGCTGGGAAAGCCTCCTGCAAGAAACCCTGGAGAGCCAGTCAGTATTGACAGTACTTAGCTAGAGTGACCAGTGTCTGACAGCATAAGGCAGCACCATATGTTTATAGGCTTACATCACCTTCTAAAAGATGAACTGTTGTGAAAGCATATTGGGTTAATCTTAAATTTTGGACAAGCTAATGTCTGGCGGTCATTTTCCCATGAAGCATCTTCAGAAACATGGCTATGTCTGCACTGTCAGGTTTTTCTTGCTACGTGTTGTGCATGTAGATGTGCGATCCAGACTGCTGCATTGAACTGCACTGTGCTCTTTTCCCTCTCCAGCATAATGGTTGTACATTGCAATCTAAAGGAACACATATTCCCCTTATGTGAATAATTTTAAGCAGAAGCAGATTGCTTACATGCAGTTCTGCAGCACTGTTAATGAAGACCACATTAACCCCCTTGGCAATAACAGGAAACTCGAACCTGTTCTGAAGCTATAATTGCTGTGCACAGCTGTTCTGTTTTGTGGATTTATTTTATGATTTTAATGCAATTTGTATTTTAATTGTGATACTTTTATAACTCTTCATTGGAGCATTTGGTGAAGAGCAGGCTATAAGTACGAATAAATAAATGACCCTTAATGATCAGTCCTGCAGAATTTCATCCTGGGCTGACACCCAGGCCATGTTGGCCAGATTGTCTGGCCCTGTATATCACCTTCCTCTCAACCTGGTCTAAAACCACTTTGTATTTTTCAAGCTTATTATCAAAATAATTTTCTTTTGGTCTCTTTGAAGAATATAATTCAGAAAGCTGTAAGCACTACCATAGCAAACCAATCATTTTCTAGTAATAATGCAGCCTATAAACAAAATCCTGTCCTGCTTAAGACATGAATAGGGAAACCCTTTGAAAACAAATAGATTTATTGACTTGATTAGGATTAGTTCTGAGCAAGAAGCTATGGGGAGGCTTTAGATTGCCCCAGACAATTAGTAACTTGACGAATAATTCCGTTTGTAGTTGAGAATCCTTCAGAGACTGTCAGTATACAGTACTAAATGATAAAACATTCAAAACATATGTAGACAGGGTTTAGAATCTCCCAGCAACCATTCCTGAAAGCTTAGGGGTTTTGAGAAATGTATTGTGATATAAAAACCTTATAAGGCATCTGCATAAATGGGCCCTGTTGGTTTGCAGCCAATGGTGGCTGCTCAGTTCTTAAACATCAAGTAATTTAAGCAAAAATAATTTTTTTCTCTCTCCTCACAGTAACAGTTGCTGATTATATATCAAGAGCAGAATCTCAGAGTAGACAAAGAAACCTCCCAAGGGAAACACTGGCCAAAACCAAGAAAGAAATGGTAAGAAAAATTACAAGAAACAAAATGATAGTGTTAATGGAAATATGTGGTCTCCTCCCGTGTGTGTGTATAGAATAATTTAATCACTGACACCACAACATCAGAGGAGAGTGACTACAAATGCTGTTAAATGTGGTTGCCCATCACGCTGGTGCTGATACACACTAGGGAAACACAGTCTGGTACCATCACAGGTCCTTACATTGACCTACATAGCAATTTTATAGGATCCTGTGTCTGAATCCTTCCCATTAGTGCTGACTGCCAAACCTTTGTTAGTCTTTTGTCTCAAGTGGGCTGGTGTGGGGAAGGTGACGGCATGTTAATATTTTACATAATAGGACAATTAAGGCGGGAGTACTTGGCTACATATCAGCCCTGCTGGGTCACACCAAAGGCCCATGTGATCCCAGCCTTCTGTTGTCACAGCAGCTAACCAGGTGCCTATGAGAAAGCTCATAAGCTGGACATGAGCCTAATAAATGTAAATGTGTTCAGTGAAGAAGGCTTATCCTGTTCATCTATTATCCACCTATGAAAAATAATGGTGATTCATGTCCCCATTTCCTCAGAGACAATTCATGTATGGAATTCATTGTCACAAAATGGCTTACGCAGCAAATGTTTTTAACTGGATTTTAAAATAAACGATTTAATTATTTGAAAAGGTAACAGAATTGACAAACAGAATGCTGTAGGTACCAGAAATCAAATGTATTAATTTTTATTTAAAACTTGCTTTTCTAGTAACATCTGAATTTGAGAGGAGGGAAAATAGTAGCTTATGTTATGAATCATTCGTGTGTCGTCTTGTCACTAATTTTTTAAAATTTTATTTTCAGACAAAAGATGTGATTGAAGAAGTTGGCCTTTCTGAAAAGGCCATAAATGGCCCTGCAGTTATTTCTGAGACTGAGCCTTCCAATTTGCAGCATAGTCCTGAAGAAAGGCCTAGTACTGTACAAGAAGATGGGAATAAACAGGACGAAGCTGTGCTGAATGGTGTTTCATAAACAGAGTTCCTAGTTTACAGTTCTTTTACATTTACATTTTACAATAGTGCTTGTATAAGCTTGCCAAAGATAGAATATGGATCGCGAGTCTTGACACCGCACTTTCAGTTCCTCCATTTTGGAAAACAGAACGGGGAGGGATCCTGAAGAAATCCAATGTTGAACATACTTTGACACCTACTGTGTTATAAATATCATCAGATGTGCCTTGAGAATAGTATATGTAACATTTAAATAAAAACAAATTGCTGGCTATAGGAAATGTTATTTTGTTTTCAAAATATGGCAGAGATGTGGGGGGATCCCTAACGTAACCTTCTTTATGAAAGCATTAGCTGCTTTTGTTACATTTTTAATAATATGCAACCACTTCTTCACCTGAGGAAAACTAGAAAAAAAAATGCAGTCTAAAATATTTTGCACTGAATTGTAATTTCTCCATTAGTTTAGTCTGGAAACTGGTCTGTTTTAATACATTGTTTTTTAAATGCTGTATGTAGTGGGGAAAATACTGCAGACCACTGGAATACATTTATTAAATTCTCAATCTGCAGGGATATTGGGCGACATTGGCAGTGACTGTTCTACATTGAGGCTTTGTTTGATTTATTTATTAAACTGTACAGTATTTAAAAATCAAACATAGCTTTAGTTAAAACACTTAAGCTGAATTAGTCATGTCCATTAAGACATAACCAGAACTACTGAAAAGATCAATTTCCAGAAAGTTTATTCTGTATAAACTACATACGTTAGTCCTTAGAGTATTTTTATTTTTGTTTTGGTTGTTTGATGTGCAATATGTTTTTGTATGCTGGTAGAAAAATAAATAAACTTTGATCTTCCACTGGTTGATCCTTAAGTACTTGCCAAGGTCATGAATTTATTACAGCAATCTATTAAAGATTTAGAGTGAACTCTTTGTGACAAGGCTACTTACCACCTGTATGAGCTAAATGAGACAGGATGGCAGGAAATCAGTGACTAGGTTTACCTTTGTTCCTTAAAAGTTTCAATGCAGCTAGGGATCATCTTCCTAATCCAAATTGCCCCCTACTGCATTTTACCCCAAGGAGAGCAGTAAACAGCTGCAGTCAGGGGTAATTGCAATTAGGAAGGAAAGATTAAACCTTTTTTCCAGTGCCTCAAAACTGATCATTTTTTTCTTTAAAAATGTATTAAACCACTATTCAGGAGACCCACATGCCGATCCTCTGCCATGTTGTCGAGTTTGATCCAAAATATAAAATAATCATTGCAAAAAAATAGCTTTTCACATGCACTAGAGGTGCATAACAAGCCACTTATTTTGTGCACATTAAGACAATTATCCCCAACTAAAAAAACTCTAGTATGGTAATAAGCTACATGAATTGGGTAACAGATTTAAATGTTACCCTACCCATGCAGATACCTGTCCTTTACCGCTCGTTCCTTTACTCTTGAGTAGAAATGTTTTTGATACCTTGGAGTGAACCTGGAATCGGCATGCTTCATTGAGTATGTGCACCAGGCATGTCCAAAGTCTGTTTCTGGGCCGCAGTCCAGCCCACCGTACCTGTGGTAGTTCAACAACTTCAATCTTCAATCCCAAAAAAAGGTACCAGCTTTGGTTAGTGCTTTGGTCGGCCCTCACAGCCTTTTACAGTGGTACCTCGCAAGACGAAAGAGTTTTCCGTTTTTTGAGTCGTTCTGCAAGACGAATTTCCCTATGGGCTTGCTTCGCAAGACAAAACGTCTTGCGAGTTCTTGCGAGTTTGTTTCCTTTTTTTAAAAGCCGCTAAGCCGCTAATAGCCGTGCTTCGCAAGACGAAAAAACCGCAAGACGAAGAGACTCGCGGAACGGATTAATTTCGTCTTGCGAGGCACCACTGTACTTCATCAAATCTGGCCCTCTGAAAAGTTTGGATACCACTGATGTACACCATACCTACAAAATACATTTTCTTCCTCAGAGGACCTAAATTAGTGCCCAGAATTCTTTGAGGGGAAAATGTGCTTGCTTTGGAGACATGTAGCAGCCACGTACCACTGCCTTTCATGTTTTGTTTCCTTCAACTGACAAGGCTTATGCTATAAATATTGCTATGAGTTAGTGGGGGAACAAAGAACCTCTAGATCCCTGGGTGTCCCATTTCTCTTGATTCTTGGGTGCTGGGGTTTAATCAGAGCCTTGATAATTAAGGTAAGCTGACATGATGAGCTTGTTTTTCTGCCAGGCAGAGGTAGATGATGGCCCTGACATTAACCCATTGCAAAAGCCGCCTACAAGACAAGAGACTAGGTAACTGAGGGAGAGGTTGCCAGGGCAATGTGAACATAATGTCACACAGAAAAAAAAGTCCTTTTACACAGGTTTTTTGTCAAGGTGATCTGGGAATGAGGAAATTAGGCAGAACTCCATGCAGAGGAGGCTGCAGTGAGGGGCGGGGCATGAATGGCTATGGCTTTGGACCAAAACTTGCTGAAGCTATTGCAGGAGCAATGTACAGAGCAGTGCTCTGTACGCCCCTACTGAAGGCTTCAAGTGTAAATGTGTGTGAATACACCATATTTCTAAGACACTGCAGCTTCCGCTGTGCCTTGACTCTCCTACAAAAACCACCCTGGGTGAATGCCTGGTACTCCTGGATTCTTACTGCTTGGCAGAGAATGGTGGTGGCATGTAACATACTGCAATAATGTTAAAAACCTTGCCCTGTGAAAGCAAAGGTCTTTTAGGGCCAGCCCAGTAACTACTGTTAACAGCACAGCAGCAGGGGAACTTTGGCTGTAAGCAAGACTGGATTTTCCGGTGTTACTACTCATGAGTTTGAACCTAGTAGCATAGGCTAAAATCTAGGAACCACACCATGATGAGCCAGAATAAGGTTCTTTGTGGTCTACATGGTCACTTTTTATTTATTTTTTAATGGAATTGGTAAACCTAGAATGTGGATACAGGCATGGTACTCTCTAGAGAAAAGGTTTGTCGTTAATAGCTGAATAGGTAACTGCTTGGGTGTAGGATAGTAAATAACTCCAGAAGACTTGTCAGAATTTGATCTGGCTGCTTTATTTATGCTCTTCCATTCTTCAGCATTCACTGATGTTTCAGGATGTTCAAAGATGCAGATTTTGAGAGAGGGGATGGCATACAGGTTAAGTTTTTCTTGTTACTAAGACTGTTGAAACGCGATGCGGAACCAATGGCCCCACTAAGGATGTTCAACTCCAGTTCAGCCCCAGCCAGCATGATGTCCAACATATGGAAGGCCACAGGCTCCCCCCATCCTTGCTTTCAAGGGTACACTGTGGGGAGGTCTCAATTCAGTCCTCATGCCTGGCAGCTGTTTTAAGGGTTCAATCTCAAAAGAAGGAGAGAGCCTTGACACAGATCTGTTTCTGGTCAATGTAAGTGTTTTACAGACGTAAGATTATTCTAACAAATTTATTGCTTTGAAACTTGCAATTATAAAAAGCTAGGAATTTCATGATGGGAATAAACCAGATAGACGTTTTATAATAGGACAATTTGTACAACTGTCCACACTTTGAAATAAATTATTTCAAAACACTACATGATGAGACTTAAAAGGTGGTTGTGGGGTTTTTTTGCAACCCAGTCTTGGATGTTGGTGTTACCTTGCTAACTCATTGCTCTCACCTGAATATAGATTCAGGTCTGTAAATATAAGCAAAAAGATGAATGATATGACCAATACTGGAGCAAACAGTCCCTCCTGGCACAAACTTCATCTTTTGTCAACAATAAGAATAAATTTTAAAAATAAAGCCATTGATCAGGTGGTGTGTCTTCATTTCTTAGCTTGACCTTCCAATAAGTCTTTAGCTTCATTAATTTTGGCTGCGACATACGGAGAACCTCCTGGCAAAGGGGGAAAAAAAAGGATGTCATACACCACAAAAGGGAATTATTTGTCCCAACCTTTCGATACGTGCCATGGTCTAAACCACAGAGCCTAGGGCTTGCTGATCGGAAGGCTGGCAGTTTGAATCCCTGCGACGGGGTGAGCTCCCGTTGTTCGGTCCCAGCTCCTGCCCACCTAGCAGTTCGGAATCACATCAAGTGCAAGTAGATAAATAGGTGCCGTTCCGGCGGGAAGGTAAACAGCATTTCCATGCACTGCTCTGGTTCACCAGAAGCGGCTTAGTCATGCTGGCCACATGACCCGGAAGCTGTCTGCGGACAAACGCTGGCTCCTCCGGCCTACAGAGCAAGATGAGCGCACAACCCCTGAGTCGTCCACGACTGGAGCTAACGGTCAGGGGTACTTTTACCTTTACCTTTATACACCTATGTATCATGACAGGAATAAAAGCCATTTCAGGGTGATGGATATAGGGAGAACCTTCAGAATGACAAAATTATCCCATCAGAGGATGTGCTATTAGCATGATTCCATGATTCTATTAATATGATTCTATAGAGCTGAAAGGGAACCCGGGTCATCTAATCCAACATCCTGCAATGCAGGAATCTCTTGCCCAATGTGGGGCTCAAACCCTGAGATTAAGGGTCTCATACTCTACTAATTGAGCTGCTCTATACACTCAAGTGGGATGCGGGTGGCGCTGTGGGTTAAACCAGAGCCTAGGACTTGCCGATCAGAAGGTTGGCAGTTCGAATCCCCACGACGGGGTGAGCTCCTGTTGCTCAGTCCCTGCTCCTGCCAACCTAGCAGTTCGAAAGCACGTCAAAGTTCAAGTAGATAAATAGGTACCACTCTGGCAGGAAGGTAAACAGCATTTCCGTGCGCTGCTCTGGTTCGCCAGAAGCGGCTTAGTCATGCTGGCCACATGACTCGGAAGCTGTACGCCGGCTCCCTCGGCCAATAAAGGGAGATGAGCGCCGTAACCCCAGAGTTGGTCATGGCTGGACCTAATGGTCAGGAGTCCCTTTACCTTTTTATACACTCAAGCAAAGTACCCGAAAGAGGGCCCTTCCACACCTACCAGAAAACATCACATTTTCTCCTTGGCACAACACTTGAAGACTTCCCATCTGACTTTGCAGCACGGTCTCATACTAAACAAACACTGACAAATGTCAAAATTTATCTCATTTACCTTTATCAGGATGATTCAAGAGCATGATTCGTCTGTGAGCTTCTCTGATTTTTCCTTTATTAGCTGTAGGACTAGTGGTTAAAACAAAAACAACAAAAATCAGTTCCAGGTATGTTCAAAAGTAGCAACCTATCTGTCATCAGGGATGGGCTGCTGCTAACTTGGCCCACTTGTATCAGACATTCAAACATCACTATTAATGAGTTACACACAGCATTCTTGCAATGCAGCCCTAACTAAAAAGTTGTATGCGCATTCCACAATATTTACAAAATTCCAGCAGCAGGCACAAAAAGAAATGGTCTCTCCCACTTGATTAGTTTGTGGCTACATGAACAGACAGATAAAATGTTTTCTCCCCTGCTTCTATTGTTATTTCTTTTGCTGGTGTGTTACATACTCAAATAACAATTTATTTGTTTGTTAAAGTATTTATATAACGCTGTATCGTAAAAATATATCACAGTGGTTTATAATGATATAAAACCAGAATCGAACAATAGCATAAAATGTTAAAAACAAGTTAAAAGCAAAGAAAGAAATTAAAGAAACATCAACAGACCATGGGGGGCGGGGTACCTGCATAGGCCTGGGGGGTGTACAAGTTTTCAGAAGACGACTGCTGAATCTCTACTCACAGATCTTTCCATGAGACTGGGCCAATGACACTAAAGGCTCAATTTCTCATTTTCACTCTCGGGGAATGACCAGGATGCTTCTGCAGTCTGGTATGTTTCTTCTCTTCAACTAGACAAGCCCTACCTTTAACACAGGACCCAAAATGTTGGAGAACACTTACGTACCTCAGCCTAACTTCACTTTTGTGATGCTCAATGGTTTGGGACAAATGAATCTGATTGACTCTGAAATTTCATATACCAAGCATACACCAGAGAAAGTCACCAAGAGTTGTTGGGCCCCTGCGTCTTTGAAAACCTGAAATTCTTTCTTACCTCACTCCTAATATTAAAGCAGCTTCCCGCTTGGTCATTTTGGGTTCAAATCCTCCTCTGTAGTAGGCACTGAAGGCCTAAAATAAGATGCATTAAAAAAAAAAAGCATTATGCAAAATGAGCAAGATAACTGTGTGACTAGCATCCTTATTTGGTTGAGTCACTAGGTGGTACTAGAAACAGTTGCATCTAGTCAGCTACCTGTGGTGGTTCTGTTCTTGTTTAAGAGAAATAATAACATTCTTGTCTAGCTTCCTGACTAGTGTGTGCAGTGCCTAGAGAGGCCTAGACCATTTCCTGTATTTGAGGCCCCTACCCATAATATTTTTTTAATGACTTCAACCACACAAAACCGCCTCAACTCAACAACCAAAAGCTGCTTCCTTGCTTCAGACTCGAGAAATAACAATGATGCACATGAGAGCAAGTCTGAGAATATAACACACCAATTGCATGGGATAACATTGCACTGTGAGAATTCATCAGATTCCCAAATATTTAGACTGCAAGCCTAACTCCACTGATCTGGAAGTAAATCCATTAGAATCAACACGACCTACTTTCAAGTACACTGCAGGACTGCAAAGCATTTTTTAAAATATGGTTTGTGGTGCAGGGCTCTTTTTAAGGGGAAATTTAGAACTGCCCGGTGGAATGTGATTGTAAACTTTGTGCAAAACACTCACTGTTGTAACACACCTGTGTGTTTTCCTTGTATGTGCACACATGCTTTCGTGACATTTAGAAGTCTAAATAGAGTGGGAGAAAATCCTCAGAGACAGGAGTTTGACAGCCCCTACAGGTGGTACATGACACCAGTCAAGCTTGCAAAAATCTATCATTTGCCCGATAATAAATGTTGGAAATGTAAAGAAACTGAAGGTACATTCTTTCACCTTTGGTGGACATGCCCAAGGATTAAGGCTTTCTGGGAGATGATTTATAATGAAATGAAAAGGGTATTTAAATATACCTTTCTGAAGAAACCAGAGGCCTTTCTCCTGGGCATGGTTGGCCAAATGGTGCCAAAGAAGGACAGAACTTTCTTTATGTATGCCACAACAGCAGCAAGAATACTTATTGCAAAGTATTGGAAGACACAAGATCTACCCACTCTGGAAGAATGGCAGATGAAGGTGATGGACTACATGGAATTGGCGGAAATGACTGGCAGAATCCGAGACCAGGGAGAAGAGTCGGTGGAAGAAGATTGGAAGAAATTTAAAGACTATTTACAGAAATACTGCAAAATTAATGAATGTTAGAATGATGTCAGAATGAAGTTAAGTGGTTTAAGCAGCAATGTTATAAAGGTGTATGTAAAAATGGATTGTTAACAGGTGAAAATCCAAAGTTATAATATATTAAGTTAAAGGTTTAAGATCAAAACAAAGAGGGAAAGGAATTGCTGAATTAACCAATAGAACTGGAATACAAAAAAGGGAGGTGTGAGGAGGTCAGGGAAGCAAGGAAATGAATGTAAGGCATGGAAAGAATGATGTGTTTTTTTAAGTGTCTTATCTTTTTTCTGTATTTTGTATTTTTCTTTCATTTTTATTTTTTTCTTTCTTTCTTTTCTTTTTATTTATGTAATTTTTTCTTTGAAACCTTAATAAATATCATTAAAAAAAAAAAAGGAGTTTGACAGCCCTAAAGCAGAGGAGTTTATGAATCAGCAGAGACATAACTTGGAGCCTGGCCTGATAAAGACTGCAGAAGCCATGGCAGAAAAAGATAGCGATGCAGTGCTGAGAGAATAATTTGTAGCTCAACGTATCCACATTAAAGAAATGATTTCAGAAACATGGAAGGAATTTGATGTAAAAATTTTGATATTTTGTTAGATATTAAGATTCTTGATACGGATTTTGATATAACTGCTTCATTATTAATTGCGTTTAACCTTTAGGTAGAATGCATCAATAAATGGTTCCTGTGTGCCTGCATTTTGCAACCCTTGTGCTCTCTAGGCCATAAACAAGAAATCCTGTCTAACCCTGAAAATGGCACAAATGACCATGAAGGATGTTTTCCTAAGTCTGTTTTGAGTAAACACTGTAGTGCAAATCCAGCATCTCTCCTTGAAACTCTTTGACATGTTTTGGGAACAGGGAAGTTAAGATAGGGGACTGGAATGATCATAAACACTGCTGAAGACCTGGTTGCCAAGGAAACTGTTAGAAGTGCAACATCTGAGACCCAAACAGTCTGGGAACCCCAAGGTAATTGCAGGTGAGTTGATATCAGTATGGAGCCATGCATCCCATGACCTGTAACCTTTCTTGATGTAAGTAGAAGGATGTTTAAATATGTTTTGATGTTTTATGACCCTTTGTAGTCTGTGTTTGAAATCCCTATACAGTGGTACTTTGTTTCCCGAATGGCTTAGTTGTTGAACACATCAGCTCCTGAACGCTGCAAACCCGGAAGTAAGTCTTCTGGTTGGCAAACGTTTTTGGAAGCCGAACGTCTGACACAGCTCCTGCGGTTTCCGATTGAGTGCAGGAAGCTCCTGCAGCCAATCGGAAGCCACGTCTTGGTTTTCAAACAGTTTCGGGAGTAGAACGGATTCCCAGAACGGATTAAGTTCGAGAGCCAAGGTACCACTGTATAAGTTTTCTTCTATTGTGCCCCGTGGCAGTCTTTGCTAACTAGCAGTTCTGCTGAACAACTTGTTAGCAAGGCTGTTCTACTGCAATGGTTTTAATAAACTGGATCCCTACAGGACGCTGATATTGTTGTATTCTCTTGGTTCCGTGTTTTATTTAAAGGTGTTCACTCACCTGCATAAGAACAAGTGGTGTAGAAATAAATTCTCACCACAAACCGATGACTCCTCATAGATAAGGCAAATGCACTGCCAGAAAAATTATTTGGAACTGTGGAAACGGTGTAAGCAGCAATGGATTTAAGCTTACTAAATAAAATACTTTTTAAACTGCTTAAAAGAGAATATGGATATAAAATCAAAGCTGGAAGGTTTTCAAACAGACTTAAAAAAGGTTAACTTTAGCTTGAGGGGCTTCGCAGAAGGGGCAGAAAATAACCACATTGTGGACTTTAAAGTCTAGTGACTTAAAATGATTAATATGTGCCTATTCCAAGAGGATACTGAAAGACCCCACAGAGCTCTATTAACTTGTCTGCACGTTTCAGCTCCTCCAAGAGGCATTATTATATGCTTCCATAGATTTTAAAAAAAGGATGAGATCTGGAGAGCACTTAGGAATGTGTAAATATAACTGTTGAAAATCAACCAGTTATGGCTCTCTGGGACCAACGTATCTCAGGACACCTTGGGGGGGAAAAGGAGAGAATGTTCATAACTAGAACAATTTTGGAAGGAATTTTTGAAAGAGTTATGTCAGACCGCAGCTCAGACAATCCCAATAACCCCAGCATTAGCCTTAATTTATATACTTCAGATGTAGACCAATTAAGAAGTAAGGAATGAACTAAACCTGGCAATTAATGAAGATTGATTACTGGCATAATACAGTCTGGGAAACAGCCATAATGGAAAATCTGTCGCAAACTTTGAAGGTGGCAAGGGGCGAGAAAAAACAAGTTAAGAGAAATGCCTACAACATATATTACAATATGGCGTATAAGCAGGCACTACTCATTAGCTCACGCCTATTGCTCTGTGTTTTCCAAACAGATTTATTGAAGAAGTCATTTTACTGGTTTACTGTAATCACCTCATTATTATGTACTGAAAAACAGTATGTTTAATACAGGTATAGCCAAACTTGGCCCTCCAGCTGTTTTTGGGACTACAATTCCCATCATCCCTGACCACTGGTCCTGTTAGCTAGGGATGATGGGAGTTGTAGTCACAAAACAGCTGGAGGGCCAAGTTTGGCCACACCTGGTTTAGTATTTTACTCCCCTAGTGACCCATTTTTTGTTAGCTATGTCATGTTTCATTATTTATGTGTGTACAATTTTGTAACAAGAAAACAAAAACAAAAGTATTAAAGAAACAACAACTAATATGGCTGCAAAAGAAAATTGAGTAAAGCAAACTCACAGATTTTGGCAGCGACTGAAGAGCTTGCTTTACTTGTGGTTCCATTATCTTCATTGCTTGCAGTGCATAACGACCTTGAAGAAAAGGAAGACTTACTAAGTCTTAGAGAGTGATCTGCATGTTCTGTTGGTAGGGCTGACCAGCACTAAAGAGTTGGAATGACATTTTGTGCCTCCAAACAAGCTTTCTACTGGTGCAATAGGCTTAAGAGGGTGCAGAGGTGTAGTGATTTCTGCTTGCTTCCAGACTCTCTTTTGCTGCTGCTTCTTATTTCATTCTTCTTCCTGGGAACTCTATAGGAGTGCTGATGGCAACCACAGAACGAGCAGATCTGAAGCAGAAGTTTCTCTACAGGCTTTGCAAAGATACATGCCTGCAACTTGCATATTGAAAGGACGCAGCCCTGATTATAAGAGGCAGCTGCCCACAAATACAATGCACACACTACTTTTGAAGAGCCTAATATTTATCAAATCACAAACATAAGAATCTTTTACAGCTTCCTGGGACAACCAGTTTGTTGCTCTTTTTCTATTTTCCCATCTATTTTCCCCATCTATTTTCCCATCCCCCTACAGTTAACTGAAATCAGGGGTGGGCTATGTGCACTGGCTGGGTCATATACAGATGACCCAACAACTTATTCTATTGCTTTATAAGCCTTTCAGAATCCAAGCTTTTTTATATAAAAAGAAAAGAAAAAAGGTTCTAGTTCTCCTGGTTAGAGATAAACTTAAAAAAAAAAGGAATTGCAATATATTGTAAAAAGTCACAGCCCCCTGAAAAGCCCAATTTAAGCTCTTAAAAAGTGAAATAACTTATATAAACAACACTGTTTCGGATTAATGATTTCACAAACAAGTCCAATATTTAATCATTAACCTACACCCGAGAAAGAGTATATTTCCTTGTGTTTACAAGTTCTAAGACTAAGCAGAAGCTAGTTCTCTGAAACTCTAATTTATGTCAGCCTTTGCCAACCTGACTGTCATGCTGGCTGGGGTTGTCCAAAACATCTGAAGCGCACTAAGCTGGCAAAGATTTATCTATGCACTATGTTTAAGCAACACAGAGAAAACAAAGGCAGCTGTTCTTCAGCTAGTATTCCCACTAGAACAGAGCTGGGGCACCTGTGGTCCTCCATATGTTGTTGGACAACACCTCCCATCATCCTTGACCATTGGCCATACTGGCTGGGACTGACGAGAGTCTCGATCAGCAACATCTGGGGAGCCACAGGTTCCCCATCTGTCCTAGAAGATCACCAAAGCTGCAGCAGCTTCAAAGGAAAATTTAAAATTGTTATAATTTCGGACGGCATTCTAGTGTCAGAATCAAGCACTTATAATAAGATTTAGACCAGAGATTCTAAATTTGTAGGACAGGACCCTCTAGGCTGATTAAGCTCTGCTACCTGAAGCAAGTGATGGACTGTTTGGGCAGAAACTCTGAAAACAATAGCTGGAGGAGGGAGTTAAGTTCCTGCAATTTATGTAAATCCTAAAACAGTCAGATGAGTTCTGTTCTCAGGCAGGAAAGTAAGAGGACAAAGAAATAAGCACAGCTGGTGACCTGCTAATATATTATTTAATATTTGCCACAAGCCACAGATTTTAATGTCAGATGTATGCTCTCGTGTGTGAGGTCAAAGACTCAGCAACAGTGATACTATCAATTTACAATGCAATACTATTCAAAGCAGTCAGAAATAAAGCCTGCATACAAAATTCTGCATACAGAAATACAAACCTGCATATCCAGCAGCAGCTATTGTCAGACCGACTGCTATCATAGTAGTAGCCTAAGAAAGGAGGGTGGGGAGAAGGAGAGGCAATATCAGAAAATGAAAAAAGCAGTAATTTCAGTGCATAAGTATTAATGCTATTGAGACTCAGTGGGCTTGGGAAATAAAGGGAGAGAAAACAGCCTGAAAAATGATAAGATACCTGGGATACAGACTGCTCACACACTACAGAGAGCCTTAATTGGTAGCTTTCAACCCCTTCTAGCATTTGAAACCATACACAGCGTTCCTGCAACAGCTATTCTTGGGCAAAGAGATAAGTGCAGTTACTGAAACATGAATGATAGATATATTTACAGTCCCTCCCATCCACATTATTTAAGCAAGAGGAATCAGCAAAATTCAAGGGCACATCCTAACTAAGCTGTTAGGATCACTTCCCCCATAAACTGTGTAGCTGGTCAGGGGTGTGACCTGGGAAGAGGGTGTGTGACCCGGGGAAGAGTACAGCAGGCTGGACTAAGGGGCCTGATGAACTATATTCAGCTTCTGAGCCAGAGGGTCCCACCTCTTCTACAAGGAATGATCTATCTTGTACAGGAAAACCAACACATTAGCTAACAAAGGCGAGTTCTCTATCCAACCATGCGGACACAAAGGAAAACACTCCATCTCATGTTATGGTGACAACAGATGATTCACAGATGGGCCGCTCCTATCAAAGTGGCCTATGCGGCTCAAGGGGTCTGGATCTGGCCTGCCAGCTGGACCCACTTCCTCAACACTGTCCTAGAAGGAGTATGTTATAGGTCTAGTTCTGTTGCTAGACTAAATGTCTATCATCTCTTAGTGCAAGGTTTCTCAAACTTGGGTCTCCAGCTGATGTTGGGACTACAATTCCCATCATCCCTGACCACTGGTCCTGCTAGCTGTGGATGATAGGAGTTGTAGTCCAACAACAGCTAGAGACCAAAGTTTGAGAAACACTGCCTTAGTGGTTGGGGCTCATGAGAACTGGGAGTCTGGGAATCTGGAAGGTTACTAGTTCCCTATCCCTGATCTAGTGTAGCTTCCTGTTTCCAGCTGTGACAAATCAAACACTCAAAGACCAAAAATTGTGGTTAAAACCATTAGTATGACTGGTCTGAAAAAGCAATGACCAGCAATTTTGGTCTCTCCCTCCCAACCCTTAGCTGCCTTGAAAAAAGAAATTCCAGTGACCTATGCCCCCATATACGTAGCCTTAGAGAACTACTCCCCTCCCTCAGACAGACACAAGCCCCTTCATATCTAGATTGATAAGAAATACCACAATCAGAATAAAGATTTTTTTGGGCAAGTCTTTACATGAAGATTTTTTTCAGTGGATACCAATTTCAAACCACACAATGTGGAAGGAAGCCAGCTTAGTATGTGTACAAGGATAAAAATATTAGCGTTTAAGGTGCCAAAAGACTATTTTCTGGTTTTGCTGCAACAGACTAACACAGCTACCTGTACCACCGCTGGGAAATTGAAAATAGTTGGCTGTTAATCCAAGTTCATATTACTCCAGACTAAGGCTGCAATCCTACGCACACTTTCTTGGAAGTGTCACTGGGCACAGATAGTGAGATTTACTTTTGAGTAAGCAAGTACAGCATTGAGCTGCAAGGCGCATACATCAGGGGGCCAGCCCAGTGCTTACTTCCGTATATCATATTTTTGGTGCAGCTCCCGTGCATGCTCCCTGCGCCTACCTCTTCAAAATGAAAGGTCAAATTACTTACACACACACACACACACACACACACAGCTGTTCAGAAAAGACAGCCACCATTCCCTCTGCTCAACGAAGCAGAGAGAGGGGGAGAGAGAGAAAAGGTTTATTTCAGAAGAAAGGTAAATTGAAAGGGAAGAAAGGACGAATTGCAGCAAATCATAAGAAGACTGGAAGAGTCTGGCTTCTGGATCAGCCCAGTGGCCCATCCAGTCCAGCATGCTGTTGTTAATTAAATTTGTATACCGCCTGATATGGCAGCAGGTCTCAGGGCTCTGCTCTCACAGCGGCCAGCCAGATGGGAAACCCACATGCAGGATCCGGCACGAGAGCACTCTTCTCCCCTCCCTCTCGTGGTTTCCAGCAACTGGGGCATTCAGAAACATTTGCTGCCTTCAACTGCGAAGGGCAGAGCCAAAGTTGCCACCTGTCCTGTATAATGCAGGATTGTCCCATATTTCAATGCCAAAATGCTACGTCCTGTATTGATAGTTTTATCCTGTACATCATAGAATTGAAGAGTTTGAGGGGTCCCCAGGGTCATCTAGTCCAACCCCCTGCAATGCACGTCCTCTCTCTCTCTCCCAAGTTAGGGATCCTCTCCAAATGCATGCGTTTGAAAGGGTGTGTTGAAAGGTCATGTATTTCAGCTCTGGGTAGCTAAGCACAGACAGATTTTCAAATCCGCACATGCATGTGCAACGAATTCCAGGGGACCCATCCTGTGAGGCTGCAATGGCTTGCTTTGAGGTTACTTCAGGTGGAAAAACAAAACAAACCAGCCCCCGCCCCCCCTCTTATTTTGCCAGGACAAAGGTGGCAACCCTATAGAGTAGGGGTCAGCAAACTTTTTCAGCAGGGGGCCGGTCCACTGTCCCTCAGACCTTGTGGGGGGCCGGACTATCTATCTATCTATCTATCTATCTATCTATTTTTTTTGGGGGGGGGGGGGAGAACGAATTTCTATGCCCCACAAATAACCCAGAGATGCATTTTAAATAAAAGGACACTTTCTACTCATGTAAAAACATGCTGATTCCCGGACCGTCCGCGGGCCGGATTTCGAGGGCGATTGGGCAGTATCCGGCCCCCGGGCCTTGGCTTGCCTCCCCATGCTATAGAGCACAGCCATAGCTGCCGGAAGCCCCTCTCCCCACCCCACCCCGCGACCCCTCGCCCCAAGCGGGGAGGCCTTTTCCGAAAGGAGGGCCAGGACAGCGAGCGGGCGCGGCTCTCCCCGCACACTCACCATGGCTTCTGCTGGGTAGGGGGAGCAGCAGGAGGAGGAGGAGGGGTTCGGTCAGGCAGACACTGGCCAAGGGGAAGATCAGTCCCGCGTCCCCACCCCCCACCGACGCTTCCCCGCTACCGCCCCGCCACCCGGCTGGCTGCTGCAGGCAGGTTGCGCGCCCTCCTGCCGTAAAGCAGAGGGGAAAGCCAGGCGCGCGTGTCGCGAAACGCCAAAGGGCCCGCCTCCTCCTGCCGCCCCGCCCGCGCCCGGCGGGAATTGGAACGGGCGGGGGAGGGGCGCGTGCCAGGCCAGGCAGCGCTTCGTGAGGGCGGAGGGGCGGAGGGCGGGAAATTTACCTCAGCGACAGGCTGAGGGGAAAGAGAATATATTTTTAAAAGACATTGTTTCATAAGAAGGTAGAAATTAGCTTGGCCAGCTTCAAGGTAGCCGTACCTTAATTCGCATAGTGCAGCTATGTTATTTTTATTATTGTTATTGTTATTATTATCATTATTTAAATTAAGCTATTATTATTAGTGCAGCTTTTTATTGTTGTTTATTAGTGGCGCTTTATTATTATTAATGTCATTTTTATATTCTTTTATTCTTTTTATCATTATTATTAGGATTTTGTATTTCTATTTTGTAATTTTTATGCATTGAACCACTCTGAGACTTTCAGATGAAGGGCAGTATACAAATTTATTTTTTAAAAATATTAGTAAATATTATCAGGGCTTTTTTTTTTTTTTGCAGCCTCTCAGGTGGGCGCCATTGCCATTATAAGAAAACAAGGGGGGGGGGCATTTGTGGTGAGTTCCAGCACCTCTTTTTCTAGAAAAAAAGAGATTGGTGTTTTTAGTTTTGAAATATCTCCATTCCGGGCTGAGCTTTTCAGGTTTTTGTGTAGACCAGCAAGGCCAAAATTGTCATTTTAACTCAAAAATGGGATGAGATTTTTTTGTTTTGGATCGTTGAACCAGTGTACAAACTTTTAAGAAAATTGGACAACACAAGGTAAAAAAATTATTAAAAATGGGATCACTTGATATGGAATGGCCCTTAAATGTATGTTTTATTTCCTAGGTTTTGCCACGCAACCTGAAGACTATTGAGACCCACCTCTTGAATTGTGCTCCTTAGGATCACACACATACATGTAAGCCTTGCATTTTGAACTGGGAGATATGGAAGATAACCACTTGAATACAAAATGTAAATGGGCAGCCAGTCACAAAACAGAAATAGTTTAAAACTCAGAAGCACCACAACACCGCCTGTGCTGTAATGTATGCAGTACAGCAACTGAACCACAATTTCCAACTTGAAATATGAGAAAGTGACTGTAGAGTAGGGAATGTGCCATGACATGAATTTTCAGAGGGAATAATGTGCAGTACACATTCTATTTCATTTCTGTTTCCATTTTCTCCTGCTCACACCTCAGATATTAGACTGTATATAACAAGTTTCGCTTTTTAGTCAAAGATACATGGAGATGCTGCAATTCTGTGCATGTTTATGCTGTGAAATGACGCACTGTGTGCAATGATTATTTCCCAAGTAAATTAGCATTGCATTACAGCTTTAATTTTTATTTAATCTGTATATTATACACACTCATGTTCCCTCTCCAGTTATGTTCTATTTCAATACGTTTCGGCATGTATGAACAACTATTCTGTTGACCCTTTTCAGGATTCCTGGATATTGCTGCTAGCAGTAATAAATACAGTGGTACCTCTGGTTACGTGCTTAATTCGTTCTGGAGGTCCGTTCTTAACCTGACAAAAGTCTCACTCTGTTTTATGTCACCTACTCCCATGCAAGTGTGCACAGGATTACAGCCTCCAACATTATAGCTACAGTGGTACCTCGGGTTAAGTACTTAATTCGTTCCGGAGGTCCGTACTTAACCTGAAACTGTTCTTAACCTGAAGCACCACTTTAGCTAATGGGGCCTCCTGCTGCCACCGCACCGCCGGAGCACGATTTCTGTTCACATCCTGAAGCAAAGTTCTTAACCCATGGTAATATTTCTGGGTTAGCGGAGCCTGTAACCTGAAGCGTATGTAACCCGAGGTACCACTGTAAATTTATAAAATTATCATGCTTTTAGACCACTCTCAGGGCAGTGTACAAAAAATGTGCTAAAATGCAACACAAACTCAGTAACTCACTAAAACCATAAAATTAACAACAGCAATAATTTTATTATTTATACTCTACCCATCTGGCTGGGTTCCCCCACTACCCTGAGCAGCTTCCAGCACATATAAAAACATAAGAAAACATCAAACATTAAAAACTTCATGATACAGGACTGCCTTCTGAAGTCTTCTAAAAGTTGTGTAGTTCTTTATCTCCTTGAATCTTCCACAGAATATCAGCAGTACATGATTCACAGCAAACAGACCAGGTCAACTGTCTAATCAGTTCCCAAAGAGCAAGCTCAACAAGTATGCCTTCAGTACACATCAAAAAGTAATTGGCAGGGGTACAAATATACCTTCGGTGGCAGAGAAGGCCCTGTTATGACTCACCGTGGAAGAAGTCATAGTGTAAATGGAACTATCAGTAGAATCGCTTCTGTAGATAATGGGAGAGCTGCTTCTTCAAAAGCCCAGGTTCCAAGTTATAAACAACAAAGTGAGCACCTTTATTTATTTAATAAAATTTATATACGTATAGCTTGATTGTAGAAGAAGAACCTCAAAGTAGTTTAAGATTGGCCTAGTAACAAAAAGGCAGCCAGTGCTGTTCTTTTAGGAGCAGTGTGACCCATTCACACCTCGCTCCGCCACCCAGTAACTTGTGACGGCATTCTTCAAGGGCAGCCCCATATAGAACACGTGTGCCTTTCCCTTTCTCTCACAGACCACATATACATACTTACCTCATCCTCGCTCTTTCTCTCAACTTGCACACACAAACAGCTTGTACATCTCCCTACCTCTTTCTTCCCAAGTGCATATCTCTGGCACCCACCCTCCGTACTCGGTGAACATTAAGAAAAGCCCCTATGTGGGGTGAAACAAGTGTTTGCCACCAGCTGCACATGATTGCCAGGCAACAAACTGAGGCAAACTGCATGTTCTCAATTGCTTCCAATTGCTTCTTCCTCCCTGTCATGGATGCTCAGGGGGAAAAAACCCCATGGGGCAAAGCAGGGGTCTTGTCAGCAGCTGCATGTGGTTGGCAGGCAACAAACAACTATAGGAATGAATTAGGCCAGAAGGCAAGAAGGGAACCAATCACTACTGATTCTTCCCCTCAAAAATTCTTTAAAACCATTCATGGTAGAAGGGGGCGGGTCTTTCAACTCCAGTTACTTGATTGACATATGGCTCCAATTGCCAATAAATGTTTTCCCATGCACTGGGTTGGTGAAACGGTGCCCAGTCTAACCAGTGTTTACTTGTATTTCCTGTGAGATCTGTGCTATATGCCTTCTAATCTTCCAGCCTGTTTCATTGACCAGGGCTCCTCAGAAACCCAAGGAGCATTTGGGGCTCCACAGTGCTGGAGAGGGTGTTAAAGAGCAATCCTGCCAATGACCCTTTCCATGTTGCCATTCCATAGTGAAACTGGAGCGTTGACAGAATAACTTGCCAACAGGAAAATCCCATAGAACACTTAGCAATCCCTTGGATTCCGAATATTTTCAGGGGCTGGCCATATTAGTGTGATTCCACCCCTGCAAGGGGATCTGCCACACCCACCACAATTTCAAACTAACCAGGGAGCAATCAATCTGCATCTGGGGTTCTCCAGCACTTTAACTGAGGTTGCCTTTGCCATCTCAGGATGGGCAGTGGGATGAGTGGTAAAGCAATAAGATCCCTGTTCTCTTTTTCTGGCCCAACACCGGGTATAGCCACTCCCATCTGCCTGCCAGGTGGATAGGTTTCCAAGTGAAGAAGATGGAATTTCTGTGAATGATGGTGAAACACATCCCTCGGACCCACTAGTGCAGTGATACTGCATTGAATTGTGTGGCATGATGAAACTTAAAAGAGAGCACCATCACAATATACAGTGCCACAAGTTCAGTGATGTGCTACAGTAACTGATCTAGAAATCCCATGGAGCAATAAGAGGCACTATCAGTGTGCACAAACCAATACAGTGGTACCTCAGGTTAAGTACTTAATTCGTTCCGGAGGTCTGTTCTTAACCTGAAACTGTTCTTAACCTGAAGCACCACTTTAGCTAATGGGGCCTCCTGCTGCCGCCGCGCCGCCAGAGCATGGTTTCTGTTCTCATCCTGAAGCAAAGTTCTTAATCCGAGGTAATATTTCTGGGTTAGCGGAGTCTGTAACCTGAAGCGTATGTAACCTGAGGTACCACTGTATGACACACCAAGAGAAGACTTACATTGCTGGTTTCCTGGGTAAGAGCTTGTTAAACACATATCACAAATGAATCAGGCTGGTGGGAGTCCAACAATGAGTATTACAAGCTAGCACTTAGTTGTTAATCAAATTCCCATAGTGTAGTCCAGTATCAATATAAGTTTAAATAAACAGCACCTCAAGATAGTTCCCACTGATTCTGTGTGTAGAATCAGAGCATGAAAGCTGGAAGTTGCCCTGCCCTATTACTTACATTCTGAGCCATGCACAAATGACTTCATAATGGAGCCACAGATGTACCTTCAGCTATTGCTTTTGTTATGTGTGAGACACTATTATTAATACATGACACTGTATTATTAAGAATACTCACAAACAAGTACCAGAGCTATAATTCACCCTCATTTTGTGATAATCTCCAGCAATCAAACAACTCAGCTTGTCCATCTGGAACCAGCACGTGATATTAAGTTTACACAGATTGCTCCAGTGGTCAGTTGTATTTGTTCAGAGCCCAGCAGGAGAAACACCATTAGAGTGTGCATTCACTAAAAAAAATCCTGTAGTAATGTATCTGGAACAAAAAGAGAAAGGCAAGAGAAAAGTGGTCATGGGTGGGAGAGGGGAAATGGGAGGTCACAGACAAAAGGAAGAGAATTAACATAAATACAAGAAAGGACCAGAAATGATAAATATAGATCTGAGGGGACAAAGGGGGAAAAATATGTGGAAGAGTCGCACAGAGGGGAAAAATGGAACCAGGATATATAGCCTGGTTTCCATAACAAGTCAATTTGGGGTTTTTTTTCCTGGAACAGCAGCAGTCTTTGCTTGCTATAGATGTGGCCATAACTTTCTGTTATGAACAGAAATGGTAGTTTAATTTTGGTCACACTTAATAGGCATCAACCTTGATAAAAAAACACAAAAACAAAAGCACTGTAAAGGCTAAATAGAAATACCTTTTTTCAAAGTTGCTTATCAGTGAACTGTTGGCTATCACAGAATTCGCTAAATCAGGCTGGGGATTTATTTAGCACAAAGGACCATGTGGGAAATATATCACAAAATGAATAGTTTAGGTTTGTGATATTGACATAAATTGCTCATCATTTTCTTGGTGTTGTCAAATGCTGGTCAAATGTTGATGTGCTTAGTGTATTTATACACAGATGCTGTCATTTTGAATAAACATTTGTTAGAACTGAAACAAATTTGGCAACTGAACTTTTTCTTGTCTTGCTTTTCTTGTTTCTTCTCTTTGTCATATATAAATATGCCACTCCATTTTCAAAAATCTCTCTCTTACTAGTAAATTACTGTAAGGAAAAGTAGATGAAGGTATGTTTAAAGTGTCAACAACTGTTGAAAAATACCCAAACATTCATGGGGAGTCTCATGTAGCCATATGTTTCTCATTGTTTAGCTCAGGGGACATGTAAACAATTTCAAGAATCTGAAAATACCGTAATTCACCACATAGTTGTCACATTTTTTATGCCACTTTCTCTTTAAAAAAAATGGGGTGCGATAATTATGTGAGCAAAAAAGACATGGCCTAGCAAGGTGGCTGGTAGCTGGCATGTCCCGGAGCAAAGGGCCCAGGAGGAGATGCAGGCAGTTGGGTGCAAGCCAAAGCACAGGGTGTCAGAAATATGTGCCTGCTGAGTTTGCGCATGCCCCCAGTGGCTTGTGCGCCCCAGGGCACGAATGGATATGGCTGGTTCTGCTGGCAGCTGGCACTAGCCCAACCTCAGAGCTCAACTGCCAGCGCTCTGGCACCTTCCGGTCCCAAGTAGGGGTGTCCCAGCCCAGGGGACTGGAGTGGGGCAGATTCGAAAGAGGGGGTATCGGTAACCTTGGAGGGACCCAAGGAGGCAAAAGCAATCTGGTGCCTGGGTTGAACTTCCATCCCAGTCAGTAGCCTGTCCTAATAAGTGTAATAGGTTTTAACTGAGGCCACAACTGGCCTGGCTCTGCAAATCTTCCAGCTGTCATCCTGGGCACTGCTCCTGGCTGCTCTGCTCTACCCCATGGCACCAGGTATGCCCCCCTCCCCGCTCATCTTGTTTATTTATCCACTGTACAGTTTAGCTATCGCAGGAAGATGGAAGTTTCATGTGCCATATTCACTGAGAATGCACATGCTGAGAATTATACCCGAGAATTATACCCTTTGACTGTTATGTGGTGAAAGCTTTGGAACAGATTTTAGGGCCGGAAAAATGGGGTGCAACGATTATGCGGTGAATTACGGTACTTTACTCTGACTGCAGTAAACAGCAAAATGGCTTACCATATTTGAACAGTTATTCAAATTATAGCTAACATTGCAATCTTTCTTACTTAACTTGAAGGAAATCCCATTGAACGCATTGAGACTTATTCCTGAATGGATATGTATAGGATTGTACTGTAATTGAATTACAATCATAAGGTAGATTTTCAACAGCACAAGTGATAGTCATGTGTTTAACTCTATTTCCAGGTTCCAGTGGCAGTCATTTGAACTTTATAGGCTTGATATCTGGTAAGAAAGCAATATTCTTTTCTCTCAGTTTCATATTTGTTAACATATATTTGAGTCTTTGTAATTTTGATACAGGGTCTAAGTTTTACCCAAAGTAGACCCTTTGAAATTAATGGACCTAATTAATTTTAGTATTTCTGCTGGGAGTAAAACTTAGTTGAATACCACCCTGACCTTATAATATCCACCTCTGGCTGAAGAAGGTTATTAAGGAGCTTCCTCCTGATAAGAGGATTTCCCTGAATCGAGACGTGTTAAAGCCAATGGCAAATGTCCCCTTTTGGGGAAAGGTGTTCAGTTGGGTGGAGGCCTTCCAGCTTCAAGCATGCTTGGATGAGGCTGAATATATGGATCCATTTCTGTCTGGCTTTAGACCAGGTTGTGGCATTGAAATCTACTTGGTCACACTAGTTGAATATATTTGTCAGGAGAGAGATGTGAGAGTGCAACTCTGCCTGTTCTTTTGATGGCTTTCTGTACCATCGACCATAATATCTGGAGCAGCTCCGGGAGGTGGGGTTCGAAGCACTGTACTTCATTGTCTTTGGTTCTACCTTCAGGGCTATTTTCAGAAAGCAGTTATGGGGCAGGCATTGTTCAGCCCCATGGGAGCAGTCCTGTGGTTTCCTGCAGGGTCCCTTCTTGTTCCCTATACCATTTAACATCTATCTGACACAACTGCTATCCGTGATCAGGAGATTTGGAGTGAAGTGCCACCAGTATGTGGATAATACCCAACCGTGTCTTTCTGTTCCATCTGAATCTGGAGAGGTTGTTGAGGGACGAGGTGGATGCTTGGAGGTGGTGATGGGTTGGATGTGAACCAATAAATTGAAGCTGAATTCTGAAAAGATGGAGGTGTTATGTGATTCAGATTATCTAGAAGATGGGTATGTGGCCTAAACTCGATGGTGTTGCATTCCCCTGGAAGGAACAGATCTGTCTCTTGACATATTCCTGTATCAAGTGTTGTCACTGGAGGCTCTGGTGGCCTTGTTGGCTAGGACTGCCTATTTCCAGCTCCAGCTGGCTTGCTAGCTATGGCCTCTTTTGGACAGAGATTCTTGACCGTGGTACTCCATGCTCTGGTCACTTCCAGATTGGATTACAGTGGTACCTCGGGTTACATACGCTTCAGGTTACATATGCTTCAGGTTACAGACTCAGAAATAGTACCTTGGGTTAAGAACTTTGCTTCAGGATGAGAACAGAAATCGCGTGGTGGCAGCGCGGCAGCAGCGGGAGGCCCCATTAGCTAAAGTGGTGCTTCAGGTTAAGAACAGTTTCAGGTTAAGAACGGACCTCCGGAACGAATTAAGTACGTAACCAGAGGTACCACTGTACTGCAATACACTCTGTGTGGGGCTCCCTTTAAAGACGACTCAGAAACTTCACTTCTCTAAAACGCAGCAGCCAGATTGTGCAACTTTCTCTGTTCTCCTGAACCAAGTCACCAGTGTGAGCCCTCATTCCCAAAAGCTTGTGGAATGTTCCCTTCCAGTTCACCCCCTGTGAATGTAGTAGTAAATTGCGGCAAGGAATTTCTTTTCAGGATGGAGCTATAATGTATTAGTCCTAATCCAGGCTATTACTGACCAGTTCAACACTTCCACTGCTTCACCTGTTCAATCTCTAGGACAAATAGCACACTGTCCAGCATACTGATAATACAGCACTTAAA